ATTCATATAAAAAGATAACAATAAATGTATCATAATAGTAAAAAATATGTAACATAATTTTATCATCGCTTATCAATCTTATCATCTTGAATAAAAGATTATAAATATTTTGAAGTTATTAAGGACAGAAAAAAAAGACTTTTCCTTTTAAAAATTTAATTCAAATCATAATGTGAACCAGTTGCATAGTGAATGTAGCAAGAATACTTTCATAACCTTATAAATTTGACAATATAAAAACATGTTACACTAAATTTATCATTGCATAATATAATTTTTAAACGATTTCATAAAAAATTGCTTATATGATTTTTTAAGTTATTGAAGTAAATATTACTAAATATATCTTTTTGAAATATTAAAACACATAGCTTTTTTCATATTTAACATTTTTTTACGTTAGGTTTTTTTTAATTTGCTTTCAGATTTATAATTTTACGAATACTTTTTACTAGACTAAATTGATGTATGTATTGTTTGCAAACTGTCAAATCATTAAACGCTAAACATATCTTTTGTTCTTATAAATTAGACATGATTTTGTTCTTAGATTCGTGATGTTCAGTCAAAATTTGATGAATGATCATGTAAATTATTTAAGAAATGAAAATATTTTCAATTATAATTTTCTATCATTTCATATATATATTCTAAAATTTTAATTTTAAGAATTTTTCAAACATCATGTCATCAAACATTGGTTGAAGGTGATTGTATGATTTACAATTTTATCAAAATATAGATTATAAAACATAAAAAGATTATAATTATGAGAGAATATTTTAAAGTTTTTGCTAATAGAAAAATATGTCCAAAAAAAATCATTGCTAATACATTTTTTAAGTTATCCTATCAATAGCTTAATTATATTGTAAAATAATTTTGAAGCAATTTATGATCATGCTAAGTAATTATCATTATATGTATGTTTTTAGTTTATTTAATGTTGGTATATATGATATATATTTATTTTCAAAATTGTCACAAGAATCGATCATGCACATTTTGATGAAAGTTTAGTAAGATCTTGATTAAATCTAGCTAGTTGAATCATGATTAGTTTTTCTAATTAGCATGTATTTATATGAATAATCTAATCTTAACTTTCAATATATATCAGCAAAATTCAAGTAAAATATTTCGTCTTCTTCTGAACCTATCTTAATGAGTTGAATCACGTATTTTGAATATGTATGAGCTTTGTATATTGTGTCATAAATATTTAAGTTGTGTATCAACAAATGGTATTAGAGTGAATGAAAATCTGACTTTAATATGTTTTGATGAAACAAGGAAGAAAAGTATTATAACAACGTTATGCTTCATTGCATAGTACTTTGCTTCAATTCACGACATAACTGGTATACTTTGTTTTTGCTTCTATTGCATGTCCATTGTTGCTTGTGTGATTGCATCCTTCTACATTTGAAGCTTCAATTGAACGTAATACTCTTTTCATTGAACTCTCAAGATCTTCGGATTGTGTTTACAAAATCTTGTTGCGTTGAGGGGATTTTATTTTTCCATTTGCGCCTTCTTTTTATCCATTTTTATAAGGTGAAATGGCGAGGAAAAGGAGTTGAAGAAATAGAATGGAAGACTACAATAAGATAAAATCTTCTTAATAGACAGGATATAGAATTATTAAAAAATCAAACTTACACAAAATCGTATTGGCATCAACAAACTATACATATGGTTTTTTCAAAATATTCAAAATGTAATCAATGTTAATATTTTCTCGTCAAAAAAAATCATTATTGAGGTTGTTGAGCAATTTTCAATTTTTTATTGATTTTTATCATCGATAAATATGTGTATGTTATGTTATTACATGCACGTTGTAATGTGAAAGTTATGGATTTCTATTTCTGGAATATTAAAGAATTGTCCTTTCATTTCAACTAAATATATGATGATTTAGCAATTCAAAGCTGAATCTTAAATGTAAAAAGATGTTAACATATCTACAAAATCATCGAATCAAAGTCTGGAGCTGCTTATAAACAAAACGAAAGATCTAGATAAATTGGTTTGAGTAGAGACATGATGGATATGATGATTTCAATGTAGTAACATACAACTTTGGTGTGAATACTTTAAACTCATGATTCGAACACTGATCTCAGAAATTTAGAATTACTAAATTATGAGAGTAGTGATCAATCTCTAAGACTTGAGAATTTTCTTTCTGTTAGTATCTAGAACATGGATTGATTATATAGAAATCTGAACTGTTCAATTAGTTGACGCTTTTTATCAAAGTTATAAGAAATAGTTTTATTATTTTCCAGATAATTTTTTAGAACATCATGTAGTTTCTACTATAAAATTACTGTAATATTACATCTGTATCATCTGAATATTGTCTTTTTGTCTTTGCGTTCTAGAAAATCAATTCATATATTAAATTAGTCAATATAATTTTTCTGCCTTGATTTTTATTTAATAATAATTATATCTATTAAGTATATATCTGTGAAAATATGTTTTTCTATTGACCACTCAATAAATTGTAGTTTAGAAGTACATTTACACATCCGGGGATGTAGCTCAGATGGTAGAGCGCTCGCTTAGCATGTGAGAGGCACGGGGATCGATACCCCGCATCTCCAAGGTATTTGGTGAGAAGTGTTGATGTCATGACTGAGGTAAGACTCGTGTCTTCCATAGTTTGTGAAATGAGATCTCTGTTAATTTTTGCAACAGATTTTAAGATATATTTGTATACAATATATATAATATTAAATTGTCTCATTAGAGAGCCTTGCTATTTTAAGCTTTGACTTCATGAAATTTTTTATAATAGCTTCAAAGGTTCAATAAACTAAGTTTCTAGTCTCGTAGTTTAGGAGAATACTCCACCCGCTGAATATAAAACCTTTATAACTTACCATTGTATTTACAAAGATGCATTTGATATCCTTTATAGAACATTCCTCGGAGAGCATTCAACAATCAGGCAATTAACGTCTATGTATGGTTCCCTACAATGGACTATTCAAAGTACATGTGGGAAATTGCGTCACATTGCAAAATCTGAATATCATGCCTACGATCTACGGACGATTCTTCGTGGTGTACGTATGGCAAACGTATCAGGTACAGTGGATGTGAAAACAGATTTGGAATATCCCAATACGGAATTCGATCTAGAAGGGCTTGATCTTCTTTTTTTAACAAAAATGAATTAGAGATTGCGTCCTCGTGTATTGGTCATGATTGGACAGTACTCATAGCAAATGCTTCAATTTAGCTATTAGCTCTCTAGTCTTAGTATTCTTGACGATTAAGGTTGGTTTCATATACCTCATGGTTGCGCAATTTGGAGCCAAGAGGATATGCTTTCACCTACTTTGTCCGCCGCTCTATACGGTGTAAAGTGGATCCATGTTTCGGGAAAAGCTGTCGAAATAAGATTTGCAGTTGATAGTATCGACCAAAGAACAGAAAATGAGATTTTTTCCGAGGGGTCGTATAAAATTCTATTTCAGCTTAATTTTTATTATTTGTGATAGTCAGACTGGTCGATTCTCATCGACATGGTTCTGTACTCTTGTTGAGAAGTTGGGCAGACCAGTGATTAATTCGCAAAGTAGGAAAATTCAAAAGTAGCAAGCAGAGCGCAGAATGCACTGGAATGTTCTTGATGAGCAGGTGGAAAGTCTTGGCCTCAGTGAAGTGCAGCATGGAACTTTTTCTTCGCTGACGATCCAATAATAAACAAATAACCACTCCTCACATCCACCTGAATGGATGAGAATATCCCACATTTGTACACATGGAAAGGAAAATCTTCATAACGTGGTTCCCTGTGCTCATGATGATGCGCGGAGACCAGAACGCACTTTCCTCTAATGATTAGGAAAACTTCAACGAGCAGTGAAATTTCGCGTCAAGGGATGATTTTTGACCCTCACAAGCAAATACAAACTCGAAGAGCGCACCTCACTCACTTATTGTACACGACCTCCACTAGTCCGCGACGTACGAATGATCCGCGAAGGAAAAGATACAGCATGGGCTTCGAGGTCTTGATGTACGTAAGTCACGACCCTCGGCGCCGGTTTGTCCTCCTACCAAATTCACCGATGTTTCGAGATTTTCCATCAGGAGCGCGAGTGTCTCGCATCTAGGGTTGAAGCAAAGCGCAGCGCAGTCAGAAGCCATCCTTTTCATTCCATGCAAGGCCACTCCTCGGCTTTTGCTCGCCGAGGGCGAGGCGATGGGGGATCGCGTCAGCGACCGGACGAAGAAGACGAAGATGGCGAGATTCAGCTTTCGAAGCGCAGCGCAGCGCGAGCCTGGAGAGCGCGTGGCGTAAGACATGTCCAACACGGGACACGTGTCGGAACGCGAGCCAATCCGAGCTGAATAGATAATCACATTCTCGGGATTCCTGTAGCCGGGGGAGGAAGGAGCCCTAGCACCAGAAGCTGCAGTTCGCCCCGGTCAACTGATGAGCCAGCGAGCGGGCGAGAAGTTGATAAGGCTCCGCGAAACTATTCGGCCGCGGCCTAAAATCCGAAAATGTGGCGCTGCGAGAGCCGAGCGAGCAGCCGGGTCCCAGTTTCCGCGGGCGGGCGAATAGAAACCGAAAGCGCCGGAGCGTGGAAACACGCCGGGCAAGCCACGCGTCGCGCGCAGAGCGAGCACGCAAAATGGGCCTCCCGAAGGGCTCACCCGGGCCTCGGGTCGGGAAACCGCGCTGCAGATAAGGATCATGAGTGAATGTCGAGTCGCACTTCACCGGCCGACCGGCTCCCGCCGGGACTCGGTGGAAATGCCGCTGCGCCTCGTCCGCCCGAAAAGAGCGGGCGGAGGGCGACATGAATTGGCCCTTCTCTTGTGCGTCCGATGGCAGCAGCAGCAGCAGCAGCAGCGAAGGCGGGCCGGTGCAGGAGACGCAAGTAGACGGGGCTCGGTGGAGGAGGCGAGAGAGGGGAGAGAGAGGAGCTCATCGGCTCGATTGGCTGAGGCTGGACCTTTTCGTCGTCCGTCGACTAGTTGCGGTGGGGGGTGGGGACTGTGGCTGGCTGGCTTGTTGGCTGGTGGGTTGGTTGGCTGGGGCGTGTGGGGTAGAGCTCGATCGTGTGATCGGCGAAGCAGGCAGGGGAGGGGCGAGCGAGAAGCGGAGCGGAGCCAGGCCGAGTTTGGAGGCTGGGCTTTGCGGTGTTTTTTGTTTTTGTTTTGGGCTGCGTTTCGCTCTTTGCGGACGATCGGTTGGGCCCGTCTAATTTCCTCGGGAGCAGCTGCGCCGGGCGCCGGCTTCGGCTTCGGCTTCGGATTGGGGTGCTCGTGAGCTGAATCCCCCGCGCATCTTCGCGGACGAGCGAGGCGCGCCCAGGCTCGATTCCGCAGAGCAGCCGAGGCATTCGTCTTCGCTGATGTTTTAGTTGTTGTTTGGCAGGATTCTGATCTGGTTCTGTCCTCCGCCGCGCGGCGAATTTGTGCAGCGTTCGTTCTCGCGTGCAACGAAGCAGTCGGTCCGTGTTGCCTCTCCGGAGGCTGGTCCCACGAGTAATTCGGGTCCGGTCGAGGTCGATTGCGGCCATTTGGTCTCCGAATCTTCACTCCAATTGTCGTTCGAAGCGGAATTGCTGCTCTGGCGAGCCAATTCTCTCGATATCATTCCCTGTGTGCGCCGAGTAACTCTTTGTTCGGGTTCTGGACGTGCTAGCGGAAATTCGTGCCAGGCGAAGGTGTCGGAGGCGAGGCTTGGAACGACGGCCATGAGAAGCTTTCCTCCCGAAATGGCCAGTGCTGCTGGTCGAGAGAAAGCAAAATGCAGCCGGAACAAGAGAAAGTTTCGACAAGACCCCCCGCTCCAAACTCAGCTGAGCGGGGAAGAGAGTCCCTCTGCCAATATTCCTGCAGGCTTCATTGCCGCTTCTGATGCGCACGGAGTGGAATGGGAGTCTAGATCTGCCGAAGCAACAGGTAGGAAATCTCCCGGTGTGGATTCCGTTCTGAAAGATGGCGAAATTGGAACGAGCTTGGCTTCTGGCAAAGCAATCGAGGCCTCCAAATTCTACCAGGAGCACTTGAAGCTGATGAGATGGTTTACAACGCGGAAGGGATCTCAACCAGGGGATACGTGGATTGAGCATCATAAGGAAGGTCCCAAAGACAGTGATGGTTGTGAAGAAAAGGAAGACTTTGATGAACTCGAGGAAGATGAATGGGACGATTGCACTGAGGGGGAATTAGAAGAACTTCTTTTGAAAAGTCTAGACTCGTTGTACAAGGAAGCTATATGTAAAATTGAGTCCCGTGGGTATAATGCGGACGAGGCACTAAGGGCTGTGCTAAGGCAAGGTAGGCCCTACGGCGGTAAGGATGCAGTTTCCAATATTGTGGGAAATGCATTGGATTATCTGACGGGCAAGAAGACCGAGGTGGATGAAGCAATCAGGAGCTTTGCTGATTTGAATGAGCTCCAAAGGTCTGGGCTGAAGGAAATGGTCCAAAAGTTGAGAGAGGTTCGACCTGCACTTAACAGAGGGGATGCCATGTGGTGCCTGCTCATGTGTGATTTGAACTTTCGCCTAGCATGTGACCCGGATGATGCATCCTCAACTCAAAACCTCAAGGAACCCTTGGCAGGGCCAGCTTCTAGCATGGAACAAACGAAAGCGTCTATCATAGACCTTTCTCAGTCTAGCTCAGCCAAGACTAGCAGTAAGGTGAAATTACCGAAAGCTTCAATCAGCCATATCCCTCTCGAGTCCTCTTTTTTAATTGCGAAAGGAGGCTCCCAACATCCAACAATATCATCATCTTCCTCTGCTACTCCCACTCCCTGCTTGTCTCTACCGCCTCTCCCTTCCGTGTGTGCCGCAAAAGGGTCTCCTTCAGTAATCAACGTCAACATTTGCTCGGTATCCAGATCAGATGGCCAAACATCAGCGAATTTCGAGGTGTCTGCAAATTCTGAAATTTCACAGTCTTGTAGTCCACGGTCGGATGCAGCTGGCATCAATCCGAAGGAGGACAGGAAGCAGGTACCGGAAGGAGATAATACTCCTCACTCAGCTACATCAAGCTTGACTCCAGAGCAAAACCAGGGGTCTCGGGATGGGGAACTGGTCAGAACCATCAGCGATGCATCTACTCTTAGTTTCAATAGTCAGGAGTCCAATGCAGACTCTTGTGCAAATGCTGGAGAACCTCTTCACCAGTTTGAGGATCCATCCTTAGAAATGGTGGATAAGAAAGTCACAGGAGAGACACTTCTCAGCGCAAGCAACCATCCCCCTGAATCTGCCAAACAAGTTGACGTTTGTGAATTACCATTAACAACTGGTTCTTTGTGTCCACAGAAACCTCCTGATGCACCTACGGAAGTTACGAACTCACCTGCTTTCTCTAAAGGTGATGTTAGTTGTAAAACATCTGATAGTTCAAGTTCTTCTGTTGCTGTTGAAGAAACTTCAAGCACTTCAGGGAAGCTAGGTTCAGGGGACGCTCATACTGCTAAGGAGAGTGTCGGATCACAGGTTTTTAATGATTCATCTTCTCTAACTAAGAACTGTTCTTCTGCCGACGGTGCCACGGGTGCTGCGGAAAAGGTTCAAGTTGGCCAGATAGCGAAGGTAGTCTCAGAGGTTGTGAAGGAGGTTTCAGAGAATATGCTTTCTACCAAAGAAACTTTAGTCATTGAGAAAGGTGATATGGAAGATCAACGAGACGATATGATTATGAAGCTCCTGCAACGTGTAAGAGAGCTTGAAGCGCATATCAGAGAGCTTGAAACGCAGATTCACGAGCGGAATGAGTGGGCCAAACAGAAAGTCATGCAGGCTGTAAGAAAACTAACGAGTGATCTGCAAGAGTTGAAGGCTCTGAGACTGGAGCGCGAGGAAGCAAATCGACTGAAGAAGGAAAAGCAGGCTTCGGAAGATAGTGCTACGAAAAAACAAGCAGATTTAGAGACTGCATTGAGAAAAGCTAGTGGCCAGGCAGATCGGGCAAATGCCACTGTGCGCAAACTGGAAGCTGAAAATGCAGAACTCCGAGCCGAGATGGAAGCTGCAAAGTTGAGTGCTGCAGAATCTCTCGCTTCTTGTCAAGACCTTACCAAAAGGGAGAGGAAGTATGCAAAGCGAGCTCAGGCGTGGGAGAAACAAAAGTCTAAGCTGCAAGAAGAGCTCTCTGACGAGAAAAGGAAATATGCTGTACTCCAACAGCAACTATTGCAGGTCAAAGAACGACAACAACAAGCCGAGGTATCTTCCTCCTATCTTTCCCAATCTATTGGCTTGTCTTTAGGAGGTTAAGGAATCAGCTGCTTAATCTGATTCTATCTCCGGCGAATAGTTGCTCAGATCTCGTGAGCATTGCTGTTTCTCATCGCTTTTTGGCTGTTGAATTCAATGTCTAGGTGAGATGGAGGCAAGAGGAAAAGGCCAAAGAAGAAGCCACTTTACGTGCTGACAACGAAAGACGAGCCAAGGAGCAAGCAGAGGTTGCGGCTAAGAGGAGAGAAGATTCTCTGAGGAGGAAATCAGAATCAAATTACCAGAGACACAGGGATGACATGCAACGTTTGGAATGTGAAATTGCACAAATGAGAACCACAGCAGAAGCAGCGCAATTGGCTACCTCTCGCTGGGGTCCAGGAGTCGCAGTCACCCCGCACATGATGGAATTAAGCAACATGCAGAGTCTGAAAGAGACCAACATTCGGCTGCATCGAGAACTGCTAGCATTGCAGGAAATGTCAGAGGGTCTGGCACGTAGAGACGTGCGGAGGGACAGAGAATGTGTTATGTGCATGTGTGAGGAGATGTCTGTGGTTTTTCTTCCTTGTGCTCATCAGGTGGTTTGTATCAAGTGCAATGAATTGCATGAGAAGCAAGGCATGAGGGATTGCCCTTCTTGTCGTACACAAATTTTGCAGCGCATTCGAGTATTTGGTGTCAGCTCTTAGTAATCTGACAGGTGTAAGTCTCTCAGATACAGTATGCTCACCTTATGCCTGGGATATCGGCAAAAATGAGGGTTCTAGCCCGTAATAAGCTTTCTTTGCAGTCCTTACATGGCGTTGTGTCAAGCGATACGAAATGTAAAAAGTGTCCTTCGTTATTTCTTTCACCTGTATTTGCAAGTGACATTTCACTTCTTTTTCCTGCTTGCATATGTCTTTCCATCATTCTTGTATGTGTTGTTAGAACTTATGACGGGGAAGCGCTTTCTTCTCTCTGCTTTTTTCTCAGGTTTTGGAACTAATCTGAAGTCTGTCGTTTATTTTTCTTCTGACACCGTGTATTTGGTTGGAAATGAGGTTTGCCATCTGTGTACGCTGAAGGAAATATGCAGAAGAAGGATACAAATAACAACCACCTTTCAGTCAATGGAAATTGATCCTCTTCTTTATGGCGCTGACAACTTCACTTAGCAGAACTTAGTCAAACTTAAAGGTATACTCATCCATCATATTTCGCACAACACCATTTCGACTCTACCTGTATTTTTTTATCACTTAAGTTTTACCTGAAGCAATCTTCGGAGCTCCTTTGTCAATAAGACTTCTAGCTATTCTCGAAATTACTAGACTTCGTTCTTCCTCGTAGATTGGATCGATAATAAGGAACCTACAATTCGTGATTCTTAAACCTGATGTATTGTCCAGTCAAGACACTTTCATGCAGTGTACAACCTGTGACGATAATCACCTGTCTTTGAAGAGTAATATGTGCGATTGAATAGGGAGATAGAAAGGGAGTGGAGACATGGTTTCAACCTAAGACATGGGTACAAGTCGCTGTTTTAAGTTTACTCTAGCAGCCAAAGGCCAACTTCATATCTTTGGATGAGAATAATCGTTCATTTCCTGTAGGTTTGGAGGTGTTTTTACACTGCATGAACGTGTCATCGCTTCCATATTATTCTTAGGAAGCGTGTGGGACTGCATCTCACATTGGCACTATCTTATTGAACTAAATCTACTTGCTTCTTTGAGTGTGTATTGAGATGAAGTCATCTCGGATTACTGTCCTTCGTATTTACAATAGTCAATAGAAACTGCATTCTGGGGTTACGCCTTCCTCCGTAGCTTAAGAAATAGATCATAAAAGAGGGTATGGAGAGAGTAGTAAGATTCTTAGACTTTCGCATTTTCTCAGTTGTAACATTTCAGGTACACCTGATATCACTGCACAGCAGTCACGGCTTCAAAAGTTTTATTGCCGCATAAAGAAGCAGTAGATTTTAGGGTGGTCCAACAGTATCAGACGCTTTGGTTGAGTTAAACAGTGGCTAATATCATTACAGGATGACTTCTAGAGTGGAGAGAAAAATGGACTTTTTACTTGATGTATGTAGGGATTAGTCGCTGTTCATTCGCCTTTCCCTGTTTGCTCTTTATTTGACATATTACTCTCTTTATCATGACCAGGCTGCTGATGAATGCTACAGGGGTTAGCAGGTAGCAGGTTTATTTTCCACGTAGAAATGCTGCGAGTAGCCAAGCTCAGAGGCCTTGTCTGCCCCACTACCGGGCTGGCAATTTCGAATCTCTGTGGAATCAAATACTCTCTACATTTATTCTGGTTCTTCACATACGAGGTTATGTACTACAAGGTTGGAGGGTGTTGCTTTGGCTCCTTGAAGCCACTGTCAACCAGAAGGTTTGAGATCATTTCAGATGAAGGGTAGCGAAGTATACAGGGGACGCCAGGCCAATGGTCTGAGGTTAAAGCTTTGTGTAAAAAGAGCCTCTTTCTTTGACAACCTGCGAGAAGATCGGACATAAGACAACTTTCCTCAAAAGGATTTATGACTTAGGTTCCGAAAGTCTTGATGGCAGTCTCAGTCTAATGCCGTCTATGTTTTTACTCTACGTGGGTTTGGGGTTTGGCTATTTGTGAAGTCCGTTGTGTTGTGAGGGCAGGCCCTGCTAAAGTGGATTCCCCTTCACTATTCAAGAAAAATTGCGCTTATTACGCTCTCATTAGTGTTTAGTCCGACGCAGCAAGACCCGCTAGCTATTGCTGACATTAGCCATATGTTGTCGATATGCGACTTGAAAGCCTTTGGTAGGGCCTGGTTCTTCACTATAATCTGATCATGCGGAAAGCATTTGATGTTGATAGTATCATATTCTAGTTGTGACACGTCAAGGTATCGTTCATAAGTAGTCGAATTTCTTTTCAAGAGCGTTAGTAGAAGAAATGAGAGCCTCCCATGTAATGCTTATGAGGTAGAATTTAGCGAGTTAGACTGTTTAGTTTGTGTAGTGTTCCTTAAATTACTTCAACTTTTTTTCTATTGGTACATTTTTGCTGTGCTTTTTATTCAAGGGTAAGTCAGAAGGGTCACAGTCTGTATTCGAATCAAACGCGTTGAAATTGTTGAAAGATGCCGTTATGCAAATTGGTTCTCGCTAAGTAGGATCAAGGCTTCCATGAATCTCTTTGGTGTGAGTTTAGATTCCCTGAAGACATGAGTCTAGGTTTTTCTTTCAAGGGTGGTCGAAGACTAGCCTGGGAGTTCGTCCAGGTGACTACAATTTGATCCGATTGTCAAAGGGTTGATATCTTCAGGTTAACTTCTCTAAGGGTTCTATGAGATGGTCGAATTTGGGGAGTAAAATGGCCGTTGATTGATTATAATGATTCATCATGTGCGAGTACAGACACTCCAGAAATCTTGCTTGACTTGAATGTTTTGTATTCACTTTTAGGTATTGGGCATCACGGTTGTCCGTACATGAACGTCTTGCTTCTTCGTTCCCAACCGTATTCAGTTCATTTTGCAATGAGGTCTCAAACGTATTGACGTCTAATTGTGATGAAAAGAACCCTGGAGGATGAGCTAGGACGGCAGGAAATGCGAAGATCTAAACGAGATGATGTGTCTTGTTCTTGGTCAGCCAGTTTTTGAAGAGTTCTTCAGTCACTCCTTTCAACGACCTCGCCTGTTTTCTGATCTACAGTGACAACTAGTCTCATGCTTCGTTACCACTAAACTAAAAACTTATTAAGGACGCACTTCTTTGATATCGAATATCAAGTTTGTCGGCGGAGTTAGGGCTGAGTACATTAGCTATAATTGGTATTGCGTAGCAAGGAGTAAGCCTTATGGTGTCGAATATCCACTTCTATAGAAACGTACAGTCTGTGATAGTATTGGGCCCAGAGGATTGATCGATCTACAAACTATGACAACTTTTGCACCCATTTAATAATATAACCTTTCAGATTGTGAATGAACTGGCCTGTGTTGTATTGCTTTTTGTATGGTTCTTTTTGTTTTTTCACGTTTTTATCTGTTAATATTGCTATTTGTCATATACGTCGAGTTCACCATATTCAAGATGGTGTAGACTAGCCAAGATGATTAGCTCAAGAAAGAATTATCTACTTTTCTCTTCTTCTGATTGACAAAGGCTATTCTATCTGTAAATGACGTGCCTCCAACACGAACACCGAAAGTAGCTGAGGAGATATCCTTGCTGCTTTTGTGGCCAGGACTGGAGCACGGACGATTGGGAGCAGCCTGTTTCAAGGATCTGCCATAAACCTATGAATTTTCAAGTAGAGGAGTCGTATCCCCCGTTTTAATCTCCGAAGGTTTGGAATGTCCATGTAGCATCCACGAGAGAGCTGGGATACCGAAAGTGCAAATTTTTTGTATGTGTACCTGTTGCTTGCTCTTAGTGTTATAGTCCTTTGAATTCCAGGAAAGACCTACAATATCTGTTCATGCTTGATCTGTAATTTGGTTCCTGATATCAGTAAACGAATTGCTCTGAGCTGTATTGCTTCCAGGTTCGTAGGTGCATGGCGTATGGTTACGTACACCGATGGTCCGTATGTTGTATGTAGTGAAAAATCTTGACCTATTAAAACTGCTCCTCTTGTAGAACATGACGCCTCATTGGTCGGAGAAGTCGCATTCCGAATGGCATCGATTGTGCATTCACAGGTCGACCCGCTAGAGTACATTGATCCTAAGGCGAGCTGCCGATCCTCTTGATTCCTTTCCTATCTGAAATAATTCCTTAACCTCCTTTCATTACACCTCCCTAATCTTGGACCTAGAAAGACAAGTCAGAGACAAAGTGCCAAGCTCATCTACAGCTGATTAGGTTCAAGAAAACCGAGATCGTGATTGACCTTTTTCATTGGCAATTGTGACGACAGAGTGCGGCATCTACCGTACAGCGAATTTTATGTTATCCAAAGAACATGCACGCCTTTGTCAACGCAAAACTGGTCGACACCATCAAATCAGAAAATCAGAAAGGGTTTCGCATGGGTTTCTGTTTTAGGGTTTAGTTATGCAGAAGAATTACCCTTCATCAATTTGCTTGGACTGTCTTCATTCAAGTCCTCGTGAAACGTTTCTCTTAAACCATCTTCGGAGTAATCGAGATCTTCACCGCTAAACATATTCAAATTCATAGCTTTTAAACCAACCTCCTCCCTTTGGCTCTACTTTACAGAAGTCATTCGCTGAATAAGTTATGAGATGGACTCATTTATATTCTGAGGAAGGTGTTGTTTGATCCAATCCTCTAGGTAACTTGCTACACTAAGTAGTTGAGCTTTGTCATACTTAAATTAAATAGAATTAAAAGCTTTCTCTCACGATAGAGGCTGAATAAAATATTGGATGTTGATTTTGATGGTACTCCATTCTCTCAATCCAAAGAAAGGATTAGTCGATTCTTGGAGTGCATCCCATTTTCCCAAGTCCAAACCGCCTTGATAAGGTTTTGCCGTTACAAGCTTTTATTGCATTTTGAATGAAGTATTTCTGAAATCTAACTCTCCTGCTCAATTTATAATATTTGGAAAGTGGTGAAGTCCGGTACTTCGGCAGTAAAGACCCTCAAATTTCATGTTTTTTTGTCAAATTTGGATGATTCTAGTCGTTTTCTGCGAAAAAATCTGATAAAATTTCCGGATACTAGTGACCTTCGCCTATTAAGCTTGATGTGACACAAATCCAATCTTCTTCATTGAAGAGTGGATTCAACATAATCGAAATAAGAATAATAATCTGATTTGGACTGTGGATATAATTTTTTACAGCGACCGACCTATTATTTGATCACCAGGTTAAGTCTTTCTTTTTGGTTTGTCTGAAATCAGAATCCTGGGACTTGTTATCAGAGACTACATTTCTTATACCATTGAAAAGGGCTTTCTTTCTTCTTTCAGTATTCTTTTATACACGGGTTTATTTGAGAATCAAGTTCCCTCTTACGAGTTAGGAGCTGCTTTCTTGCTCTAGCAAAACTTGTTTTCTTCTTTGGAAACCTTTTTTCTTACTTGAATTTTTTGAGACAAGCGTCATCTCTGTTGACACTTGCCAATACTTTTGAAGCAATAAATATTTGGCTTCAGCAGAAAGTAGAGATTATATCACTGCAAGGTGATATAATCGCAACCGGATATTGGGAGTTTGACGGTCCGGGTATTACAGGAGGGTGACGTGATGGCGGATTCAGTGAGTTCTATATTAATCAATTTAAAACTTGGACCACTTGCACGTCGTGCTCGTTTGACATATGAGGTAAGCTGTACGGTTTTGGTCCGGATGAGCGCAGTATTGAGTTTTTTATATTATGTACAGCATTTTAACTAACAAAAACCTGTCAGTCACGTATATGTGTGTTTTTGCATCGAGTCATGATCATCAGAGATTGTAACCAGCAGAATTTAGAATGAATTTTTGTAATGGTAAGGTCCTGATTATCTTATTCACTCTTGATGTAGTACAAACGCGTGCTTCTCAAAGCTTTGAAAAGAGGCAGATGGAGAATTTCGTATTATGTGAGGACGAAACCACCAAACTTCACACCACTAGAGCAGCTTTTGAATTTCATCCATAAGCGAGATTAAATCAGGTTAAAAAGGAGGATGGTGCCGTAAGAACTTCACATCACCCTATGACACATTTGTATTCCATATGTTTGGATGGCGTTATAAATGGTGGACCCAGATCCATCACAACAGTCGCTTGTGGTCATGTGATTCATTTTGGTATGTTTACAATCTGATTTGTTATCATGCTAGTGCCAACAAGATGAGCTCTTACAATTGGTGTGCTATCTTCCATGGTTTCTTTAGGTGGATTCTAAGTTCAATAGTGAGCATTAAAATTATGGAAAAATAATTGACATTTTTTCATATTGTTGCAGATTGCATTGCTTCAGCTATTGTGACCAAGGCTATAATGCAGTGCCCAATTTGTAGTCACATAGAGCATGGTCGTTGGTTCTTGGCCGACGAGTAGTGATTGGGGATAAGATTGTGAGATCGATGATGACTTTATGATCAGTCACCTCTACAATTGATACTAGTGGTTATCCTATGTAAAGAAGAAGAAGTAAAGTTATTTGTTTTTTTTTATTTTGATCTAAATACTCATTTGATATGGAATACTTTAGTTGTACTAACTTGGAGTACCTAACTAAGCAGTTTAGAGTTAAAGAAAAACTAATGTTTGAGTCTGTATTGCACTGTGTTTATTTACATGTTTTGTGATAATCTCATTGCCTAGAAATGCTGCAAATAAAAGTTTTGATTGAGTCAAATTTTAGTTATTAAGATTATAAGCAATTTTTTATCGTATATTGAATTCAATAGATTAATTAAAAGTGTTTTGTTTTACTTTGCGATTGAAATATATTGTTCTATTTTATATTTGCATATTTTTCACATCTTGTATATATATACAAATACAAATTACACATGGACTAGACACCTATAACAAATATTCTAATTCAAACATATTTGCAAACATCCAATATCTGGAGTTAACTTCATAGCCGATGAAGTGAACGTTTCGTTTCAAGTGAGTCAATCGAATTTTAACGGACCGAGCTCTTTCCATCAAATATCTTAGTCTTGCATATGAGCGGCAACAATCTTACCAAAGCATACTCCGATAATAATACCAAAGTAAAAAGGTTCTTTTGATGCCAAGAAGGAGGTTCCCAATGCGGATGGAGCCTCTCATATTGCCGCACAAACATTTACCTTTCGGGAGCTTGCAGCTGGAACCAAGAACTTCAGACCAGAGTGCCTTTTGAGAGGAGGAGGTTTTGGTCGTGTCTACAAGGGTCGTATGGAGATTATTGGCCAGGTTGTTGCGGTGAAATAGCTCAATCCGAATGGACTTCAGGGCGACATGAAGTTTCTGGTTGAAGTGTTGATGCTCAGACTCCTCCGTCACCAGAATCTTGTTAACTTAATTTCATATTGTGCACCTGAATATACTATGATTGGGCACTTGACTTTGAAGTCTGATGTTTACAGCTTGGGGATGGTGTTGTTGGAGTTAATTACAGGGAGAAAAGCTATTGAAAATGCTGGGGCTCCTGGCAAACACAATTTAGTGACTTGGACACGGCCTTTGTTTAATGATAGACAAAAGTTTCTGTCCAAGGCTGATCCAATGCTCCACAGACGTTATTCCATGAGAGTATTATACCAAACCCTAACAGTTTTGATTTGTTTAGTATTGTTCAAAATTTACAAATAGTTAATAGATGTATTTATTATACTTTTAATAAAATATCATATATTTCAAATCGTCAATTTTTTTATAAATTATTTAATCATCAAGTATGTCACAATCCATTTTTTTTGTTATCCATATTTGAGATATTTTACAAAGAATTTTCAACCAGCAAGTATATCATTAGTTTTTATATTTCTCTCAAAAAAAATCTCATAAAATCACCTTGCTAAATTTTGAGCAAAAATTCCTCAAGCATATGTATATGATATGTTTTTGTTTATTAAAAAAAATGTTTAAAAAACCTAAACACCAAATATTTTATAAATTGATATCAAAGATCTAATATATTATTGAGATTATGCAATGATTTTGTATCAACCTTATTTACAAGTCGATGATTATGTATCAAGATTAAGATGCGCTCCAAATTCACTAGTGTTTTTGGGAAAACAAAGCTATTTTTTCCTATTTATCAACCCATTTTTATTAAATTTGACAAAATACCAATATTTCATAATTGAATAAGTCAGTTGATATCTGAGCTTGCAAAAATTTACTCATTAGTACAATATGATGATTACTTAAAAGATAATTTTGATTGATTTTTTTCATTTGATTTTTTTCTTTGAAGCTTGTCATTAATAGTAAATATTTCTAATCTCTTTCGTTCATGATTTTGCTTAATTTATACTGAACCTTGTGTCTCATCATTTTACACATAATAATCATTCTCCTTGTAATTAACATCCATGAAAGAAAATTTATCTTTTTTAATACAAATAGTATCACTCTCTTTCATATGTCAATATATGTAGGAGCTGATACTCCCACCCTGCTCATTTGCTTCTCCCACGCTCCTCCCCTTCCCCGACACCTTTCTACGTATCCTTGGCGCCTACCTACCTCCCTGACGTCTCGCCCTGATCCCAACTTCTACGATTCCCCCACACTGCCCATCAATAAGACGATGTAGTATTGCAACAATTAGACGTCCGTCTTGTAATCGAATGGCTTGATGATGCTATAGAGATGAATGACAGGATGTTGTACATACGCATGGGCATTGTTGTAAGTAGACTCGGAAGGAAGTATAATGGCGTGGCGGTATAAGGATTGGTGAGAAATCAGAAAAGCAAAGACGGAGGCGGTGAGAATTAAAGGGGAGTGGTGAATTAAGTGAATTGAGGTGGGAAAAGCAAATCAAGAGGGTGGAAGGATGATATTCATATCTATATTGATAATTAGTTTGCACGTTACAAAATTTCATAATGTATAAACATTCACATCATTATTCTCTGTTTTTTTTTAATAGTTCTTTATGAATGTTTGATTAACACCTTATATTTTTATGCAATAAATAGTAAGATGTTATTCAAATAATCTCAAATGACTATAATTAATCATATGTTTGCTAGTCATGTGCTGGGATATAATCTAATGTGTTGATGGCTCAAGATGTTGATTGAACTCGAGATCAAACTTTGTATTAAATATATTGCACAATTGATTTTTTTAGTGCAAAAATTTTATGTTAAAAACTGATTTAGCATATTACGTAATTTGATTCACACTATTTGATAAATAAATTTATTAATGTATTGTGTTAATTGTAAAAATCATCGATCATCATCAATGATTTTTTAATCTTTATAATAACTTCTAAATTTCTCATGAACTTCACTAATCATTTTCTTTATTTGTATATTATCTTGTGAACACATTGAAATCTCAACATGAAATGTTCAACTTTTGAAAGTTGTAAAAAAATATATAAATTTGTATTCATATTTAAATTCACACAAAATCTTGTATAATCATAAATGTATAATAAATTATACAAATTTTTTAAAAGCTAGCTTCAAAAACATTTTCACACTTCACTACGTACATGATAAAGTCACTCTTAAACATTATAAATTCCAACATCAGAAGCAATTTTATGTTGCTTATGTGTAATAACATAACAACAAAATTACAAATCAACTCTAACTAGACAATTATACAAGTTCATTTCACCAACTATGGGCAAATAACTATAACTTTTGTGTGTCATATCAGCAAGCAATACTTTTAATATTTCAAATCAAGATCTTCTATTAATGATTGCATCATATATGATATCTAGCATCTTATATTTTTCTACTTGTAAAATTCTATAATTATCTCCATCATAAATAAAAATTTCAAAAATTTTTATTATTTGAAATAATTTAAAGAAAATTATAGATAAAAAAATTTTGACTTGGAAATTCCAAAGAAATAATTTTAGAGATGAGTTTGGATTAGATTTTAGTAGCATAATAAGTCCAAAATTCTATTCATATATCATCTGGTTCAATATAAATGAATGATTAGAAAGAACTACAGCTTGTATGTTTTATGATAGGAGAGAGATATTGAGTTACTACTCAGATGTTTTCTTACATGGATCTTGATTAGAAAAATATATATTAATTCATTTCTTGATATTGATTGAATATCCAAATTTTATTTGTTACTTTTTTGGAAGAAAATTTCCCAAAAATGATAAGAAATTACCCTTGAAGATAAAACTGGACTTAATCAAGTTACATATTGTGAATTTAATTTTCACAATATGATCAATAATATGACATTTATTTCATATATATATATATCATTTATATTTTGGAATTGCAACTTTGGGCAAGTAGTTCCGTAAAGGACTATTGAATTGCTGACAGATGTGTTTAGAAAAGTTAGCTAGATATTCTATATTTACATGTAAAAAATTAAACTAGGATAGTTGTAATCAATTAATGTATCTTACATACATTCATTTACTTTTTCCTTATTTATTTATAGATTTTAATATAAAATAATTATTTTTCGTTTAAATATCACTCTTAAATGAATAAAGAAAAAAAATAAAAAAAAAATGGAGAGTTGTAGGTTACACATTAGTTTGGTAAGTTTCATATAATCCTATTCTTCATTAATGTAATTCTCTGTCGATTAAGGAAATATTATCAACAAGGAATTGAAGCAGTCAATCATTATCTGCTGTGTAGGAAGGATACCAAAATGTGGCTTGAAACACCACGTAGCAAGGAGTAGACCTCTCTGGCTCAAGAAAGAAGCGAGGTTGGCCCCGCATTCATCGGATACGTTCTGTGCGAAACGTGGTGACTGACAGCACACCGAAATTGCGAATGTTTTATCTCCTGCAGAACCACGAGGTATCTTCCAGGGCGCAGTAAATATAATGGTGTTGACTAAGTTGCCGGGTCTCGCAATCCCGGCAGGACCTACTGTACTGTTATCCGACCAAACTGACGGACGTCTTGAATCCCCGTCTCCCTGGAAACGTGGAAGAATCGACGGCCCAACCGACGTCAACAAACTCAGGCCGATGTCCGGTGAACCGTATTCCAGAGTCCACACGGATAATGCAACATGTCCATGAACGACATAAATATGGCAGTTGGCGTGGATCTTCTGACAAAACGTGTGGCAAATGTGGCCGGGTACACAAGAAGAAGGCCCACTTGGGAATTCGTAACTCTTCGGCTCAGGAGGTAAGTATACCTCCCAACATGCAAATGAAAATGAAAATGAAAACAAATTTCTTCGGAAAATGAATTCTTTGACATGATTCACGGGGATAATATTTCCACCAAGTTAGGACTACTCGAAACTGGAAAAGATTCAAGTACAGTATGGCGGAAACGTTAATGACAGAACGGGTTTGCCACGGAGCTGGCGGCCATAAAATCTCACATGCGGGTAAATTTCCCTCTCGTTTCGGTGAGGTCGAAATCGGGATGTTCAGGTTTCTTACATTTACGGGGCCGTCATTTGTCATTAGTTGGAGTTTCTAGGCGCTGGCTGGTCGCCGTCGCCGTCGCCGTCCCAGTAGCTGCTAGTTCGGAGGGGAGGTCAGCGACTGTGCGTGCAGTGGTAGATTCCCCTGGACCGATCAGCTTTCAGAATTTCAGACCATTCTTATCTCCGCAGATTGAGAGCTGGAGTCAACGGGATTCGGAAGTCCGATCACAGGATGCGAGTGCTTGTGAGCATCCCGCTGCTCTCGTCGATACTGAACGACTGATGTCAAGAGTCGCTGTCGTCGGAGGTTGAAAATTCGGACTTCACAGTTCGGACGACGGGCGGGGATTCCTTCGTCTCAAGCTCGGGGGTGGTGTTCGGAAGTGAAGGCGAGTGGATTGATCGAGTGAGATACTGAGGTCTGAGAGAAGTCCAGCATGAAGCTGGGCGTGCGCGTCCTCGTGGTGTATGCGGCCCTTCTGCTGCAAGTAGCCGTGTCTTCGAGAGCGCAAGAGTACACTCAAACGAATGGATCATACACCACGTCGTTAACGAGTACGTGATTTCTTCCCTTGTCTTGTAAGGTACATAGATTCTAAGCTAGTTTTGCAATTTCGAACGCAACTCCATTTCATTCTTCGGGCCTCCCCTCCAGGATTCGGACCAAGAAAATGAGTATGCCCATCCATCATTCCCGAGGCAGTAGTATCGAGATAAAAGCGGCTGACCAGTTAGTTGATCCAGCGAGGAACCTTCACGCGATACGCTTTAATTCCATTCACATGGACGGATTTTCTGGAAGTTTCTTAATCACGTTTGTTCGTCCAATACAATCCGCAGTCTAGAAGCTCGCTGAATGTGTCTTTGTCGACGGCGGTAAAGTAATCTTCGAGGATTTCGAAAACGGCACTGAGTGGGTCGCAATTGTTTCACAGGTTCGTGTTTCGGAGGAAACTACGGCATGTGGGGGACGGATAGGAGTCTGGCAGTCGGAGTGAGCCCTGCGCTCTTCAAGGTTGCCAAAAATGGCCGCTCGGACTCTTGTGGGCAGAAAATGGAGGTTCTGTGTCTCAGTCCCCAGTCCAGGTGCCGAACTGGGAATCCGATCCTAAACGTCACAGTAGTCGACCAGTGTATCAACTGCGACGATAATATGCTAAGGCTATCACTCACAGCTTACAACAAGCTTGCCAAAGCTGATTTGGATTTCGTGATTCTTGGCTTCAGATAGTAAGTACTCGACTTCCCGCTCGAATCTCTTTCTAGCTTGAATCGTTTTCTTCTGTGAGGTCGATTCACTCACGCTTCTTCAGCTTTTCTTCAGCTTCGTTGATTCTGAAGGCATCAAGAGCTGCAACAATGGCTGTGTTTAGGTGCGACAGCGCCAAGAGATTAGAGCTATTGTCGGCCATTCGGTGTGAAAGAATTCCTTCGATTTGGATGTGGAATGAAGTTTGAATTCACCATTCCCATCTGCTGGAAGGCGTTGTCCTGACTGTGCATGTGCCGTATTTTTGTCAGCGTATAGACGGTTCAGACGAGAGACGACCGGATTCGAATGTAAAGACCCGGAGCGAGAATTGACACGGAGCGGAATTTACCGAATTCACCTCTCCAACTAGACATTCTCACATGTGCGCAGGAGCGTCACGCCGCCCGCTTTTGACATTTTGTCGCCCTACTTCTTTGGTCCATGATATTGTTCTCTCGACGGTCCACTTGTTTGCGAGATACCGATTGTGCCAAATAGAAGCAGGCTGCCGATCAGTTGTCTTCGTTGGAAGCTGGACAATCATGACACAGCACAATCTGATGATCAAAGAATGAATCCGGTGAACGATATGGTTGGATCTCCAGTATTTTCAGTCACAGCCGGGGTACCTGTCTTCTGTTGTCTTCTTCAAACTAGTCTCCATGTCTGTCATGCTTCCCTGTCCAGTCACTGGCCTGAAAGCTCGAGTTAGCTTGCGTGGACATGTACGAGCCACCTTGGACACACATGCAGCCTGATTTTCGTTAACCCTCGTCAGCAGCTCGGAGTGGTTCTAGTGGATCGTGTTACTTTGTGATCGTGTTAGTTAATGGTGAAACGGGGTGAAGAGGCAACAGTTTTGTTCTCATTATGTGCAGTGTGTGTCTCTCGAGGTGGTGCGTCGGTGCGATGCCTACCTACCTTCCTACCTTGTACTATGCAGACGGACCAGTCATTCAGAGTAATGAGGAAACTCAGATGGACATACGGACACGGGCTGTATGCTTACGTGGAAATTCACGCCGTCACGAAGAGAGTGTGACCGACGCGAGCAGAAGGCATGAATGGAATCGCTGTGCTCGTCGGTTCCACAATAATGCAGGCTGATTGTTATGGAAAATGTTCATCCGAGGTGTCGACAGATTTTTTTGTATCTCTGTGATAAATTGTAAGTTATTACAAGTGATTAACGACAGTTATCTCAATAATCAAAACGAACGCTGGATATTAATGCCAAGAGTGAGAACAGTTCTGACATTTGACTCCTTCCACGACTATTCTTTGATATAAGCATGTCTAATGTAAATGAGTGACTATCCGCAACGTCTTTCAACGCTATTAGCCCTGTGACTAAAAGCGAGTATGAACCTTGGATATACTTTTCACAGTGAGTGTGAAAAGTTGACGCGTAGCGTAGATAACGTGTTTAGTCCATGACATGAAACAGTACTCCATAATATACTTCATGAGGGGCACTTTTATTGTATCACAATAATAGTCGAGGAAGAATCCTAGCTGGTTGAAAGTTACAAATTTTAAGTTGAACTGATAGAAAATATCTCACAATGACTAATCCACGAACATTCTTATTTTGGGAGATGTGAGGTGTGAACAGAACGTTCGAAAAATTGTGAATGTTGAAATCCTCAACTTACAGCGAAACATAGAGAGGGTGTGCATGACAAAGATAAGATGACGCCTACACAGTTAATGATGGAGGAAGATTCCTAAAGCAAGTTAACACTCTATGTCGTAGTTGATCCGAAGTGTTTAAAAAGTACCCTTTGTTTACATTGCGGTTATACGGAAACCTGAACGTCGTTTATACTACGCTACACCATTAATTGGATGTAAAGTTAATGTTACACATGTGACTATTGAATTTGATAAGTTATGCCATGATTTGAAACATGTACGAAGTTGTGAAATAAATGTTATACTCGGATACTCCGAAGCAAAAAATGCAAGTTTTCCCACTGGCTCCTGTCCGTCATACATCATGGAAAAACATTCGTATACTGAAGATGTGAGGAATTGTAACATCTTATCCATGATCTGACTGTTAATTACCATGTTGTGCTTACTCGTTAAAGATTTTTTTTTTTAATTTTATTATATTCCAAAACAGTTCAACATCCAGATTTACCCTTCAGCACATTCTATCAATTTTTTCTTTACAAAACTCAGTATTAGCTTAAACAAAATTTCTCTCCTTTTATTTGTTTTTTTCTTTAAATCATTTCAGCACAAATAAAAATATTTATTTTATAAATATGTTCATCATATTCAATATGAAGTGTACTTGAAAAATGGTATTGTGAACATAAAGATGTTCCAAGGGAAATAAGATTTTACAATTCAAAGTGAGTTAAATTCCTTGGTTTGCAATTATTATTTACTAGTTTGAAAATTGTTACAATCATGGACGAAGATACTAATATTAATAGTGATGTTACAGCATTATTAATACTAAATACTTTTTACTTCATAATTATCTAGTATTTAGAAATAAGGTATAAAATATGATATCACAAAAAAATTAACAGTAGACTGAAGTGCTTAATTGAAACTTGTCACATGTCATAACTTTCAAAGTATTATATCTTGTGAACTTTAAAACCGTAATTTGATTGAGAGATCAAATTATAAACATGTAATGTAAAGTAGTTATTGTGAATACAATAGCTTAGAACTTAGCTATAATTTAGAACCAATAATTTTAGAATAAAATTACTAGTTAAAATATCGAGTCAAATAATTCAGTTGATGACTGAACACAATTTTTTTATATATTTTTTCATAGAAAAAAATTGATTCATTTACGATAACAATTCTTAAAAAGAAACCTACATGATTTTCGTTTTATTTTTTATATTTTATTATATAATGATATCAGTGCAAGTCTCATTAATTTAGTGCTAACATTAGTTTCTCAATTCATGAGTGTCTATCACTTAAAAGAAATCGAAAAATTTGATACATTGATAAATTTAATACTAAATTTGATGTAACTATCGTTATTTTTTATATCAGTATTCTTAATTAAAATTTACACTAAAAATATATTATATGTTATATTTAATTTCATATACTTATTCATGAATAAAATAAAGTAATATACAAATTTCAGATGTTAATTTTTAAAAAAGAGTATGTTTTTTAATCTTTTATTGAAAAAAAGTTTGAAAAATGATTTTTTTAAAACTATGTATAAAGTAATCATATACATAATAGCAAATACTTGCTATCATTTAAATAATATTGATGATTATTTTTGAATAATATTTACAATTTTTTTCACTTTTAGTTATTGATTAAACATATACGCATTTTTTCTACGTTGATTATAACCATTAAAGGTATAATTATTTCTCTTATACAATAAGAAATTTATTAATTAAATACACTTAGTAAATTTGACTTTCAATAACATCTTGACTATAATATAGTGAACGGCTAGTTATACTTTACTTTATGCTAATTTTCGTTCACAGCCAATGTTACTGTTGGATGTGACGCGCTCACGAGAACCTTTATCTACAACCAATTTACTCTAATGGAAATATACAAAATTGAGTCCTTTGATAGTTTCATGTTTCTTACTTTGCGAGAACCTTTATGTATCAACGGTTTCTTCTAGTGGAAATACACAAGATTGAGTCCTTTGGTAGTTTCATCTTTATTGTTTCCAACCTTGCGACTATCGTTAATCACAAAAGCATGACACCGACTCTACGTATAACCTTGCTCTGCCAATGTTGAATGGGATATCTCTGACGGTGGTTCAAGCATGTTCACATTGAAATGAGATCACTCTAACCAATCATAGACCTCATTTCTTAAGGGATTTATATAATTTTTGGAAGATGAGTGATACTTATCAGAAATCGAAGGTTATTTATCCTTGAAGGATAACGAATTCACTTCCTAAAGAAAAGAATAATGTATTTTTCCAATGGTTGTAAACAAATGATATTTAGAAATAAGTTTTCAGATATGTAAGAAACTCGCTTTTTGTCTTCTATTCAAACCATGCAAAGTAGAACGGATTCGCCATATGTGAATAATATTTGAACTTCTTAATGTTGGATAAAATTGGAAGAAACGGACGTACTCCTCATAGTAACGGGATCTTCCCGAGTTTGTTTCATCCGTTTCGTTCCTTACACAGTATGAAGCGAGTCTAGGAGGAGACGAAGGCTAGCCACGAGGTTAGTCCATATTTTGTACCAGTTCTTTCCTTTTGGGCTGGGACAGGCGTTAAAAGGTTCCTTTCATTATGCATTTTCAGCTTTCTTCGCCTGTTAATTACTCAGAATTCGTACCATTCCCTCTGGAATTGCTCACTATCACGGGTGTGATTGTGACACCTTGTTTTCACTTTCGTCCTCACTTAAGCTACCATAGAAGAAGGGACGAACAAGCTTCCACGAATACTAGGCTTCCTTGTTATCATTAGTGCTAGTGACTCTCGGAGTGTATTTCCCCATTACTAATATCTAATGGAAAATTTGAGATATCTTAACGCTGTAGTTGGGGGTGCAAAAGCTAGTAAGAAGGCTAGACTCAGACCCGGGCGTGCTTCCACATGGAGGACTAATAGCATATAATAGCAAACGAACAAATAAGACATGTTTGGCAGTAATGAGATAGACTACTTTCCATCACTCGTGTGTAAATTTTTACACACGAGTGATGGAAAGTACAGTGTAAGTGTATGACAGTTTCGACCTCTAAGGAGGCCTACTTACCGTGCTCTTGCCGTAATTAAGTGTACAAAGCATAAGTGTCCTATATTTCTCGGTGAAGCTGGAAAGACTTCTTTCCGCTAGAGAATTAACGCAGTTTTAATCATTTCAAGCTTACCGCAGTACTCTACATCAGAAGTCACTAATGGCTTCATTTCTTCGAACAGTTGGAAGATTTCTACCATGGATTGGCATTAGCGACTACTTTCTTTAGAGGTATGAATTGAGCGTTACAAATCTTTGATGTTGGAATGATGCCGTAGCCGTATTCAACGAAGAGTTCTACGAAGGTTTGTGTGGGACCTCGTGAGGTATCCTATAAGCTTACGGGATACCTCCCGAGGTCCAACATAACCGAAGTGGATAGAGGGCGTTGACGGGCGTACATTCCGCGAATGTAGTGCACTGAGAAATCTGACACCGTATACTCGCAGCTTGGACTGAACTTGAGCAGTGAACGGTACGCTAGTTTACATAGTGACTTGTAAAAGACTACACGATGCAGTGGTATTCCAAATGGGAATTCCTGGATAAAAATACTTTCCTGTTAGAAATGCTTCCATGGTGGCGATATTCGCTGCTTCAGTGTAGTGTAGACCGTCCCATACGACGTACTGTGATCTGTCAGCACACGGTTGTGGTTTCGAACTTACACCGCACTTGTCTGTGTTGCTGAATCGCCACGGTAGTCCTTCTATTCCACAGCATGCAGCAATTCCATATTTGAAGCCTGCGATTCCGAACTGAGTTAATGGACAAGCTGCAAATGGGACTTAAACAATCTCATGCTTTAAATAGATCTCGCAGATGTGTGACACAGGAACATCCAGTCCTGGCATATTCCTGACATTGAGTGGTGTCCAACTCAATGTATCAAAGGATGAGAAGCCTCCACTGTGAAACAATATGAAGAAAGTAAGCTCGTGTAAGATTCATAATCTATGCATGATATCACTAAAGCAAGTAGAATTCGCTGTTCTAGTAGGGTGCTGCGGGCAGCTTCGTCATGTTCAGTGGTGACAGTCTTAGGAATTCAACACTTATATCGTGACACGAATGGCAGATTGTCAAGTGAGCTGAACATGTAATGATGATTTGAATGCCAACGAGAAGATTTACCAGTACATTGACTGTCGGAATGAGCTAGATATTCAAGGGCTAACAGGCAAGATAATTTCGCGCAACTCACTGGTCTACGAGTAAAATTACCGTGCTTGGCCGGGTTTGTCATCAAGTCCAGCCGAATGCTGTATGTATCCACCAGTGCCACAGAAGCATCAGGATGCAATTGACCGAAGGATGCAATCTCCTTCTTCAGGAAGGAATTATGCATTGTAGCCATCTGATTGAAGATCTGGACACAGCCGGAAGAGTCTGGAAGCGCGGCCTCTCCGTAAATCGAAAGATTTGCAGCCAGAGTTATGGGCATACATCCTATCGGATAAACATCTTCAACCAGGATAGATCTTGCTCCTTCCGCGTAAAGTTCCTGCTTCATTCTTCATTTTTATTGTCAGTCTTTTCTGTACTGCAGCCTTTCCAGAGCTCCAGTTCACTTAAATGACAGATCCTAGGCATTGAAAAATATTCCTGTACTTGGAGATTGTCACTTTAAGTGCACACAGGAGTAAAATAGGTGGCAGGGATTTTTAAAAACTCGTCTTTCAGGACTGGAATCAAAAATCTCTTTGTATCTGTAATTCGGAGGAAAGAAGCAAGTCATCAGGACTACGTACTCTGGAATATAGCCAGCAACAGACTCACTATGGTATGTCCAGTGGACATACCATATGCGGGTGGACATTGTCCACCCGCATAGCTTTACATATTTCCTTTGCGCATGGTAGTTACGAGAATGATGCAAATCTTCCGAGTGGAATCATTATTATCTTCGTCAGCTTTAACGCCTATGCGGACCACAACTTGCATGAGACAACAGCTTACCTTCACAGAGCTGATGATGGCAGCAGACACCTCTGGTATCGCTGCTTCTATCCTCGCAATTGGTGCACGGGAGAATATCATACTGAGGAGATCATTCGCTCCAGATGCCACTATGTATAGAGCGTCTCTGAACACCGACGCCGGAGGAAGAGAAGAGGAGCAAATCTTCTGTCCTACAAACGATCACCACACGCTGAAAATCGAGATACGTCGTGCAGTCGAGCTTCGAAGACAATCGAAGATCGGCCAGCCGATGGCGATTTCATGGTACAGCATAGTCTCGCGATGATCATAAACAGCACAGAAAAGAGCTTCATTCACATTCTGGGAGAAATTTTGTTCAGTTTGGAGCTTGTTAGATAATCTTTGTTGTCTTCTAAGTTTTTAGTATAATCTGTTTGTATCTGCAGGTGGTAATTATCTTTAGCATACTGCCTGCTTACTGTCTTCCTGTACACGCGTATTATAGTCAGGTGTAGTTAGGTAGTTTTAACTCCTGCGTGGAGTTCATGTTATGATAGTAAGTTCGAAAAGTAGGGCATGGTTACTACGTGCTCTTTATGACTATTATGTACGTGTCAAACTCTCACGTTAGTGTAAGTTGTATATAAACCCGTCTTTATACGAAAAGGAAGTAAGTCATTTTTCCACCACATCAGTTTGCTCAGTTCTGAGTGAGTTCTCGCGTGAGCTCTGTGGCTCTTGTGTTTAGTTCTCTCTCGTGCTGTACAGGTTACAGCACTACAATTTGTCTGTGTTCTTTGTGATCAGCAGGTGTGATCAGGTTGCAGCAAGACCTGCAAATCAACAAACTGGTATCAGAGCTTGAGTGGTTGTGGTACTTGCTGCATCATGGGAGTCACATGGTGGTGTGTCACGGACTCCTCCGCGCCATGAGAGTCTCCAGTCCCCCTCCCCTCCTCCACGCTATGGCTGGCACCGTGACAACGGCGGCCAAATCGCTGTTCACCACACCGTCAAGGAGTCATGAGCGACTCCAGTCCCCCTCCCCTCCTCCACGCTATGGCTGGCATCGTGACAACGTCGGTCAAATCGTTGTTCACCACACTGTCAAGGAGGCATCCAGTACCCGATGCTGTCCAAGACAAACTATCCGGAGGGGGAGCTTATGATGACCATCAACCTCCAGGCGCAAGGCCTGTGGGCAGCAATCGAGCCGGAATACATCAACCTCCAGGCGCAAGGCCTGTGGGCAGCAATCGAGCCGGAATACAGCGAGGATCGGCTGGCGCTAGCAGCAATCGCACGCCGGAGATGTTGTCCACCATCGGAAGAAAACCCACGGCCAAGGAGGCGTGGGAGGCGGTCAAGATCATGCGGATGGGCGTCGATCGAGTTCGCGAGAGCAATGCCCAGAAACTGCGCCGCGACTTGAACAACATCGCCTTCAAGGATGGAGAGTCTATTGACGACTTCTACATGCGCATCATCAGCCTCGTCAACAACTTGCGTCTCCTCGGCGACACCATCGACAAGATTGAAGTAGTGCAAAAGATGTTACAGGTAGTTCCTGAGCGGTTTGATCAGGTCGCGATCTTCATCGAGACGCTGCTTGATGTTGGGACAATGACCGCCGAGGAAGTGACTGAGCGATTGCGCGCCGTCGAGCAGAGACATGAGGCGCGCAGGCTGACTGCGGAGATGGACTCGCGGTTGCTCCTCTCCACCAAGGAGGAGGAGATGATCCGTCGCATGCGGCGACAAGAGAAGGAGACCGTGCGTGGTGGCGGCGGCTTCGGCAGCAGTTCCGGAAGTTCGCGTCCCGGCTTGTCACAACCGAATCGTGCTCGTGAGGCGCCACGCAAGGCTGTCAAGGAGGACCAGTGCCGCTATTGCAAGAAGTATGGGCACTGGGGGCATGATTGCAGGAAGAAGAAGCGCGACGAGGCGGCGAACTTGGTTCAGGCTCAAGAAGATGAGGAGTACGAGCCAGCCCTCATGATGGTCCAGGTGGCATCGATCACCTCACCAGTGCATGATGAGATGGCAACCGCGGACGGCCGACTCTATCTCATCGAGGAACGGGCCACGGTGCAACTAGGGGCACTAGTGAGCTTGAGCAAGCTCGCGGAGTCTGGGACTTGAACACGGGCGCGTCGAACCACATGACCGAGAACATTGGAATCTTCTCCGAATTGGACCGCGGCATCACCGATACAGTGAAGTTTGGCGACGGCTCCCTCATGTACATTCTCGAGCGCGGCACGATCATCTTCTCCGCACGAAGGGGAAGCCACCGCGTGCTGACCAAAGTTTACTACATCCCACGTTTGCGTAGCAATATCATTAGCCTAGGCCAACTCGATGAGTTCGGTTGTCAGGTGTTGATCGATCAAGGAGTGTTACGGGTGCGCGATCAGCAGAAGGGGCTACTCGCCAAAGTTTGTCGGTCACAGAATCGCCTTTATAAGATCACGCTCACAATCGCGCAGCCCGTCTCACTTCTGGCACGCACCAACGACAACGCATGGCGCTGGCACAAACGATATGGACATCTCTCGCCTTCGACGCGCTTTGGAAGCTCGGTCACGGCGGGATGGTTCAAGGTCTGCCACAGTTTGATCATGTTGATCAACTATGTGACGCATGTCTGGCCGGCAAACAGCGTCGTGCGCCGTTTCCTCAAAAGGCCAAGTACGGGGCGAGGAAACGACTTGATCTAGTACATGGTGATATATGTGGTCCTGTCACCCCGGCAACACATGGTGGACGCAGCTACTTCCTCCTCCTCGTTGACGACGTCAGCCGATACATGTGGTTGGAGCTCCTGTCGAGCAAGGGCGAGGCTGCCAGCGCTATCAAGAAGTTCCAAGCCGGCGTCAAGGTGGAGATGAGACGCAAGTTGCGCGCACTGCGCATTGATAGGGGTGGAGAATTCACCTCCATCAGTTTTGGCGAGTACAAGAACTGCGCCAAGAAGGGCATCCAATGGCAGCTCACAGCGCCATATTCTCCACAATAGAATGGCGTTGTGGAGCGCATGAATCAGTCGGTGATGGCCATGGCGCAATGTCTCCTCACGGCGAAGGCAATGCCCAACACTTTTTGGGGGGAGGCAGTGAACACTGCAATTTTTATTACAGCCGATACATGTGGTTGGAGCTCCTGTCGAGCAAGGGCGAGGCTGCCGGCGCTATCAAGAAGTTCCAAGTCGGCGTCAAGGTGGAGAGGAGACGCAAGTTGCGCGCACTGCGCACTGATCGGGGTGGAGAATTCGCCTCCATCAGTTTTGGCAAGTACTGCACCAAGAAGTGCATCCAATGGCAGCTCACGGCGCCATATTCTCCACAATAGAATGGCGTTGTGGAGCGCAGGAATCAGTCGGTGATGGCCATGGCACGATGTCTCCTCAAGGCGAAGGCAATGCCCAACACTTTTTGGGGGGAGGCAGTGAACACTGCAGTTTTTATTTTGAACAGGTCACCGACGAAAGCTCTACACGACATGACGCCGTATGAGGCGTGGTATGGGAAGAAGCCAGCGGTTCACTTCATGCGCACATTTGGCTGCATTGCGCATGTGAAGCTGACACGCCCGCACGCCAAGAAGCTCGACGATATGAGCATAAAGATGGTGTTCGTGGGATATGAACCGGACTCAAGGGCTACTGAGTGTATGATCCAATGAGTGGCCGGCTTCACGTCTTTCGAGACGTAGTCTTCGACGAGGCCAAAGGATGGAATTGGGCTGACTCTAGAGAAAGTGTTGCTCTTGAGACTTTCACTGTTGAATACACAGTGAACACGTCCCCTGGCGGCAGATAGCTAGATGCACCTGTATCTTCAGCGGTTTCACATGTGTCTGCACCATACGAGGAGGAGCAACATACTCCGCTGGCGAGTGAGCAAGCAGAGGACTCTAACGGCATCAAGTTCATTTCGCCGTCGTCTAGCATGCCATCCGGGATGGAACATGATGATGAAGGTGCACCACGACGCTACCGCACTGTGGCAGACTGTGTCGCCACCTCAGAGCGGCAAGAGCTCCACCTAGATGAGCTCCTACTTGCCGCGTCTGAGGAGCCAAACACATTTGAGGAGGCGAACAGCGATCCTGCGTGGCAAGCAGCAATGGAGGAGGAGATGACGGCCATCGTTGACAATGACACATGGAGTCTGGTGGATCTCTCCACCGGCCACCGTCCAATTGGTCTAAAATGGGTGTACAAGCTCAAGAGAGATGCAAGCGGGGCGGTGATCCGTCACAAGGCACGACTTGTGGCAAAAGGGTACGTTCAACGTGCCGGCATCGACTTTGAAGAAGCATTTGCTCCGATGGCGAGGCTCGACTCGGTGCACGCACTGCTAGCCGTCACGATGCATGAGGCGTAGGCAGTGCACCATCTCGACGTCAAGTCGGCATTTCTGAACGGGGACCTTGAAGAGGAAGTGTATGTAGCACAACCTCTTGGATTTGCCGTGGCGGGGCACGAGCGACAAGTGCTGAAGCTGAGAAAGGCCCTCTACGGTCTTCGTCAGGCACCTTGTGCATGGAACATGAAGCTTGATCACACTTTGGTAGAGCTCGGCTTCTGCAAATGCACGGATGAACATGGAGTGTACACGAGCGGAAAAAGTCAGAAGCGCGGGCGCATGAGGCGTGGGCAGTGCACCATCTCGACGTCAAGTCGGCATTTCTGAACAGGGACCTTGAAGAGAAAGTGTACGTAGCACAACCTCTTGGGTTTGCCGTGGCGGGGCACGAGCGACAAGTGCTGAAGCTGAACAAGGCCCTCTACGGTCTTCGTCAGACACCTCGTGCATGGAACATGAAGCTTGATCGCACTTTGGTAGAGCTCGGCTTCTGCAAATGCACGGATGAACATGGAATGTACACGAGCGGAAAAAGTCAGAAGCGCGGGCGCATGAGGCGTGGGCAGTGCACCATCTCGACGTCAAGTCGGCATTTCTGAACAGGGACCTTGAAGAGGAAGTGTACGTAGCACAACCTCTTGGGTTTGCCGTGGCGGGGCACGAGCGACAAGTGCTGAAGCTGAGAAAGGCCCTCTACGGTCTTCGTCAGGCACCTCGTGCATGGAACATGAAGCTTGATCACACTTTGGTAGAGCTCGGCTTCTGCAAATGCACGGATGAACATGGAGTGTACACGAGCGGAAAAAGTTAGAAGCGCGGGCTCCTGGACGTGTACGTTGATGACCTAGTCTTCACCGGTGCCGACCAAGGCGAGGTTGACGCGTTCAAGGAAGAGATGAAACGCTCATTCAAAATGAACGATCTCGGGTGCCTAAGCTATTACCTGGGCATCAAGGTCAAGCAGCAACTGGCAACGCAGCCAAATTACTTGAGAAGGCCGGCATGACTGACTGTAACACCGTCCAAGTTCCGATGGAGAATCGCCTAAAGTTGAGTAAGCAAAGCACAACTTCTCCTGTTGATGCATCTTACTATCGTAGCATTGTGGGAAGTCTGAGGTATCTGGTTCATACTCGGCCGGACATCGGTTTTGCTGTTGGGTATGTGAGCCGATTCATGGAGAACCCCACGACGGAGCATGTGAGCGCCGCCAAGCATATTCTTTAGTACATAGCAGGCATGCTGCACTACGGACTGAGCTACACAAAGGGCGAAGGTGAGATCAAGCTCAATGGTTACAGTGATGCAGACATGGCTGGAAATGTAGATGACTGCAAGAGCACAACAGGTGTTCTCTTCTGTTTTGGAAATACGCCAGTAACATGGCATTCTCAAAAGCAGCCAATGGTGGCACTATCATCGTGTGAGGCAGAATACATTGCAGCCTCTACAGCAGCTTGCCAAGGCCTTTGGCTTGGAAGTCTCCTTGGGAGCTTCTACGGCAAGGCAGCGAGCATCGCCACCATCTTCATCGACAATCAATCAGCCATCCAATTGTGCAATAATCCGGTGTTTCATGGCCGGAGTAAGCACATCAAAACACAGTTCCATGTCATTAGAGAATGCGTCGAGGGCGGTGAAGTCATCCCACAGAAGATTCAGCTGACGAACAACTGGCGGACATTCTTACAAAATCTCTTGGCCGAGTCAGATTCCTAGAACTGCGCTCGAAGATCGGCGTAAACATTCTGGACAACTAGATGAGGGAGAGTAATGTTAGATAATCTTTGTTTTCTTCTAAGTTTATATTTTAATCTGTTTGTATCTGCAGGTGGTAACTATCTTTAGCATACTGCCTGCTTCTTGTCTTCCTGTACACGCGTATTATAGTTAGTTAGGTAGTTTTAACTCCTGCGTGGAGTTCATGTTATGATAGTAAGTTCGAAAAGTAGGGCATGGTAACTACGTGCTTTTTATGACTAGTATGTACGTGTCAAACTCTCACGTTAGTGTAAGTTGTATATAAACCCGTCTTTATACGAAAAGGAAGTAAGTCATTTTTCCACCACATCAGTTTGTTCAGTTCTGAGTGAGTTCTCGCGGGAGCTCTGTGGCTCTTGTGTTTAGTTCTCTCTCGTGTTGTACAGGTTACAGCACTACACTTTGTTTGTGTTCTTTGTGATCAGGTTGCAGCAGGACCTGCAAATCAACAGAGCTCAGATGCAAAAAATGATCACAAACTATTCGAACAGAATGGAGGACGCCTCTCACCGTCTGGACATCCATCTGCCGCCAACACTCCGCGCTTGAACATTTTGAACTGATACACTTGGACCTCGAGGTTGAGGGTGACTGGACCAGAGCCCTTTGATGCAGTAACTCGGCTTCCACCGCAAGCAAAATTGGCCCCATGGCTAAAGCTGGAGCGCATGGCTTTCAAGAAAGGGTCCAGGTGGGGAAGGCCAAACGCTTCGGCTGAATTGTCCAAACCCACCGATCACAGAAATCAGAAATCTATACCATACGACCATGGCTCCCTCTGCGAACAAAACATCGCACATTGCCCCGTAGCGTTCTATCTCCACAACGTCGAGGATCCCACACATACTTCGATAAATCTACCACAAAGCTCTACCTCGTGACGTGCACAATGTCCAACTGATGATCATCTTCAATGAGGATCGGAGGGTCCGGAACATAAATCAACAAAAACAAAACTCTATTTGGATCCAAAAACGAGATAAAAGAACTTCTCCAGATGGTCTTCGCACTACGTGCCTTTCAAATCTTTCTGAAACTGTGAAGTATTATACAGAATTAGAGCAGGCCATCAAACATCTAAAGTAGATAAACCGCGAGCAACAGAAAAAATCTATTTAAGTACCCAAAAAATATTTTTTGGAAGTTTTGTTTTTCTTCGAAACACTAAAGATTCGTGTCCTTCGGGCCGAAGGACGCTTCTAGAAGTGGCTGAGAAAGAAGGATTGTGCAAGCGCATACCCCAAAGATCGACCAGTAAACGTCCATTGCTCCATCGCCCAGATCTGGGGGCGGGAAAGTCGATCCCGTAGGGAAAGCTGCCTGCAGGAGAGTCGGCTCGGAGGAGAACGCCTGCGCCAGTATCGGCCACCGAGCTCCCGAAAGAGAAAATCGCGGGGAAACTGCCACAAGTTCCCTGGGCTGATCGCAGCGTCGTCCTGTCCTCGTATGTTTCAGCGACGGACGAGCTCACGAGCTGCACCAGCACCAGTAAGGCCAGCGCCGGAGTCCTTCGCTCGCTCATTTGCTCGAGGCGAGCGCAGCCTTCTGGCCTTGGATTCGACATCGACATTCCCTCGACCATTTGTTCCAGAGGCGTGAAGTGGCAGCCCTCCCTCGCTCGTGAGTGGGTGGCAGCCTGAGAAGGAACAAATCCAGAGTCCTTAAGCTGGGTCTTCAGTCCTGCTGCTGGAATATTCTTTGGCTATGGAAGAAGAAGAATCTAACTTTATTTTTCGAGACAGATTATTTTCTAGTCTATATTTCTCGTTATGATACCCGGTCCTCATTCTCTGTATTGTTGTGATATCCCCGTCTCTTTTCCATGCTCTGCAAAGACAATATGAGCCAGGAGCTCTGTGGAGCTTTATTCATGAAATTGCTATATCGAAAAATATTTATAATAAGCAGTTTTTTTCTTAGTCTACAAAAATATGTTAAAATTTACTTGGACTTTACGATCAGGATAATTAAATGCCTTGACTTAAGGTCCGCACGATCAGGAATGATTAATGCCTTAGATTTTTCGTTACATAGTGAGGCAGTGCACGCAGAATTGATGTTGAATTTGCTGTAATTTCTGAGGGAATTGCACGACCCCAAATAATGTGCTACTGGTCGGGCCAGATGGTGAAACAGAATAGAAATCGCCTTCTCTGACTTCACTGTCTTGCATTTGTACGATAGAATGTGAGGTCAGACAGCAGGCACCGCCTCTGAGTCAACATCTTCTGGGAGTAAGACAACGAAACATCTTGGATTGTGACTCCCATTGTTCCAAGCAGCTGGTTTTGGCATTGTGGTTCTATGACAGCTTCTGAGCAGCAAGCCAACAGGAAAGAGTCCGAGTTCAGCTCCAAGACTTCGAGGGTACAGAGAGAATACTTCTTTTGCTGGCAACACCCTGGCTGCATGGCGATGGCCACTTGGACTCGTGCCAGTGAAGCTGGATATACGATTGGTGGAATCCCAAATCGTATGTAGTCAACAATCATATTAAGTACAACACATACAATGAAGCAAAATTTTCATCTCTTCGAAAGCACATTGTGTTACAAGCAACAAAAGTACAAAATCAGCACATCTGACTGTTAAGTCACGTGTAGTTATTTACATCTTTATCATTCTATTCATAGATTTGTATTCAAACTTTTTGGGCAGAATTTATCGTTGCATAGACATGGATTAGACTTGAAAATGCCTTCAAGAATATGTCTTCAACACGTCTCAAATATTATCCTATCATTTCATCGTTTGTAACTAACTTAACTCTTACATGGAGCAAGGATAACATCTAGAGATTTGACGACAATATCATCTCAAACTTCACAAAGATTTCTTCTCCAATATTCTTATAAGTTCAAAAATACTATTTTTTTCATTTACTAACTTTTCAACTATGCATTATATCACAACACAAAATATAATGAATGTTCACATAACCTTGACATATTTTTTTGCGCTCGAAAATCAGCCAATTAAGTCAAAGTATCAATTCAGCCAAGCATATATGGTGGATTCTAGACTTTTGAAAGCCAATCTTTTGAAGTTTTTCAGGTATAACTAATATTCCTTCAAGCAAAACCATTCATTTATGAATAATAAAAAACCGATAAGTTAAAATTATTTGTTATATTATATTTATCTCTACGTCTTCTTTCCAACTTTGTTATTTGTTCTTTAAATTTTTCATCACAAAGCTCCTATAATTTCTTAGTTCTCAATTTTAAAAGTCGAAGTTAATGCTCTCGTTGATTACACTGCAATATGTGAAAGAGTGAAGTTTATTATTTTGAGGTCAACTGAAATTTAATCACTCTAACTGAAAACTTCATATATAATGTATATACACTATTTAGTCGTCAGATAGACATTACAAACTTGAATTAATCTAATTTTGAAATTCTAATTCATGAATTTACAAATCTCTATTAGCAAAGTATAATAGGGTGTTTAAGCTATGAATAAAGTAGGGTGTTTAAACAACAAAAATAATTTAACTTCAGGTTGTTTGTACTTCAGATTGTTGGAATGGGGACAAGAGGTTCCTGTGGCCTTCATTAGACCGAGAAGTTCAGAAGAAAAGTTCACAAAGTTTAACCTGCGGTAATCTTTCCAAGGGAAATTCCCGATTTGCAGGTTGGGCATTTATGTAAAAGTCCCGATTATCTAAAGCCATATCGAAGAGAACAGAATCCTAAGATATTCATAGATTGGCTTCCGCGGCCGAGTTAGAATTGATGTAGACTGGTAAATAATCCTCTCCGAAGGTTGATATATTTCTCTTGTCAACCAAGCATAGACCAACGGAACAGAGAGTATCACAGCAAATGCACGAGAGAACCCATCAAGTTGAACCATGATGGCAAATACATCATAAGTAGTTCATATTATTCCGACTGTTCATACAAACAATAACATGGTCCACTCCACTTTCTTGATCCCTTAAAGGTTCAGGTGGAGACAGTTCACGCAACCTTTCCAACACGTCTCCAGTCAATCTCCACAACACATTCAACAAACTAGGACGGATCCATACTGCAGAGCACCAGTAGAGACTATGGAGATCAAAATGGGTGAAAAGCATACAAATATAAACACTAACTTTTCACTCCATCTTTGTTGACAAGCTTGAAGTTCAACCTTTTTACGTTCTTCACAGGAATCAAAGCATAAACTTCGTTGCGCTACTGCAAATAATAATATGACTGACAGCTCATAACACATCAAAGAGCAAAATTTTGTTGAAGCTGCTAAAATGATAGTTTTCAGCGTCTTCTTCATATCCATTCATATTGAGCGCCATGAGACACAAGAACCGGTGGATGCCCAGAATGAGTCTACCCTTGGAGAAGACGGTCGAGTTACTAAGAACTTGCTCCGCACGTGAAACTTTGAATATCAGGGAAACATATTTCATTGCCGTTTCCGTATATTCATTGTACTGAACATTTGAATGTACCACAAGAATTAGTATACAGGCTCCTTAGTTGCACCTCATGCTTACAGAACCATTCTTTTAAGTGTAGGACACTATATAAGGACTCTGTGCTAGTCAGACCAGGATATCAGATATCCCCATGCCTAAGTTCATGTCAATGTGCCGGTAAAAGTGAAGCAAAAACTACTATGTATACTGCTAACAATCAGAAACCAACTTTCCCATCTATCTAAAATAATTGAGAGTACACGTTCGGCTAAGTCGACAATTCAACGGCGACGATGAGAGTGTATCATTGTGGAAAAGGTAAGGCCATTTGACTCACCGTGACCTTGAATAAATGTCCTACCGCACCCTGTTCTATGACCATCTACCTTCTTAAATTCTTCTCTTCTAGTAAAATTTCTCCAGTCCTTTCTACTCCATAAATGTAAACCTCGCTAGCGTAAGGGTTTTCTAAATAGGCTAAATTGATCGCAACGCTTTCTGTGCAGATATTCTACCTCGAAGACTACAACTCCGAGGTGCTCATTCGACTGATTGTTCTTCTAACTTGTGAAAAAAACTCATTGTTGTCCAGCCCTAGGATATGTATATCCGAGTGACGCCCACTCCATCGGATGTTTTGATTATTGTACTGCGCATTGAATCGATTTCGTGACATGAATAGAGAAGAAACACAGTCAAGGACGAAGATATTGATACAAGAGAGGCTCTAAGGTAAAGGAAAATATTATATACAACCGCAAAAACGCAGTGTAACTCAGTGATGTGTTCTGTTTGAGCTGCTCGGAGGCAATGAATCTTCACTTGTCTTATCCCACTTAATTTTCCAGCAGACAGCTGATGTCACTAAAGCGCAAGACAGTGTCGCAGAAACACCGTATACACAACCTCCTTGAGCTAGATTCGCTAATGTCTGCATGGAGTCATTATATTAAGAACATCAGAATAGAACCATTATGGTAAAACTGGTAGATTAATCCACCAACTTTTACAGCTTTCTTTCATAAAGATGGTGCCAAGGAGGTATTATGTAGGCAAAGCATGGATGACACAAGAAATAGTGGAAAATTATGGGTCATGATCCCAAGGTACATACAACGTTAAAACTTACCGAAAAAGATACCAAAAGATGCATGCCAGGAGCAAAAAACTGTTGTGACTTTTTCCCCTCTGCATGTCCGTCGAATGCAATGATCATGGAAAATGTGTGTATGAGTAGGAAGCCCAGTCCTGTCAATGCTGCACAGACCATACGATCAAATGCACAAAATCCGACCTCAATAAACTGGAATTTCCACGACTTAGGAAACATAAAACATCTACTCATCATGAGCCTTTCTGTCACTTCCATCAAGATTTTCCCAAGCAGTGTTCACCAACACAGACACTATCATGAGCTATGTGGTTCAGCGTTGATTTGAGTGCTAGCAATCTTATCGATGAAGGCCACTTCGGAGGATGCAGGTATGCCGCTAGGGAACGCGAGGTGCTAGACAGTGAATCAAATTCTGCAGAACAGTGCAAAAACTGAAAGAGATGTCCAAACTGCTGAATGAATGAAAAGAAGAGAGAAACATCTCAGAATTGTATTCAAGGTGCAGGCTTACCGGCCATCATAAAGAAGGGCATTTGCGAGCAACTATTCACGTAGAGAGTTGCAGGTCCGAATGATGGGGTCAGCAGTGCGACACAGAAGAAGATGACATGGGCTAGTCCATGACCTAAACCAAAAGCTGCACATCACCACCGCAACGCGATCGGATGAAACCGACTAAGGTAACGTTTATATAAGACTACACAGAAGGAATCAACGTCAACACTGCATCCAGACATAGGTCAAGAAAGTCTTCACACATGGAAGAAAATGGTTCGGCAAGGTGCTTCATACCCAGTGCAATTTCAAATTTGTCGACAGCATGCAGTCGCGGCTTGGAAAGCCTTACTGCTATCTTGTTCAAAATATCCTCGACTCTCCTGAATAAAGCGAAGGTACCGTTAAGAAGAAGCCAAAGCAAGCCGTTGAAGTTCACGTGTTACATATAAGTACTTGAGACAACAAAAACAACCAAAAAAAAAATGGCTTGGCAAATATGTTTTACGTGTATATATGTAACAGACTGTGAAACAAAATACATCCTTCGGTATTTCTACACCCACAACTATAAATAAGCGAAAGAAAAACAAGTATGCTTACATATACGTCACCTTGTGTACGCGTGACTACATAGTTGGACATACAAGTTTTGGAAAATAAGGCAAATACAAGTAACCCTCACTAACAATAAGATGTAGCTTATATTCAGTTCAATGATAGAGCTTCTTGTGAAAAATATAAATCAAATCCAAATTCTTAGTTCCCACAGTAAAATTGAACTTGCTTTTTATTATACGCGATTTGAGGAACGTCTAACAGAACAAGGAAAATATTGGTAAAAAACTTAAGGTGCTTGACAAAAGGTCTTGATCTTGCAGTTTCAGACAATGAATCTAGGAGGCAAGCATGCAAGGCTTCTTTCGATTTTGTTGTATACTTCTGCTCTGTGAGGCATTACAGATTGAGCACGACGTAACAGTAGACGGATAGGTACTTCTTTGACTGGTACTAGTCTAGTACTAGACTTTCGAACTTATGCCAGACAACCACGTTTGAGAGAAAATTAAAGAAAATTTCCTGGTGCGGTTTACATATATATAATAAAAAAATTAAGTCAAGGCTGCTTTCCAAGATTTGTATCATTGATCTTCTTTAGGTCCCGTTTTACATTAAACATGTGCGGCACCACAGGAGATCAACCATTTGAATTCATACGATGTATACGATAAGTAATATGGTCTTTAAACGGCAAAATCTTCGAAACGTTAGTTCGGCATAAAAGCTGATGTGTCAGGAAACTATTTACTGGCACAAAGAACGGGAGGATAGCATCACTAAAGAGACTACCTCTGCGTAAGCAAAGTACACGTCGGATACACATATCACGACCACCATCAAAATTATAATGCAAATGTGAGTGAAGCTAATTTACTTGGATGCTGTATCTTCCTCGTTGTGACAGGGTTGAGAAACTTGACTTGGAGTAAAAAAAACTCACAAGTATAGATGCCAAAACATAAGTCTCGCTGCTTCCTGACAACCAACTGCCGTGAGAAGCAGAGGAATGTACACCCAAGCGCTTGCTTCACCAGGTAGAAATCCCCTCCATACACTCGAAATTAACACAAGACTGACGAGCCAGCTCAAAACACTGCGTTCAGACCACAAAGCTACCGATTAAAAGAGACTCGCAAGAGAGAACACAGTCACGGCGGATGTTCGAATGCATCTCATACTAATACATACTACAAGCATACTTATCGCAGTTGTTGCTCTACGTTATACTGTGCACATTACATTTCCGCTGTCACTTTGTGAAGATGGGACTAACAGAGTCCTTGGTTACATCCTCTGGTATAATGAGCAAGGCAGGAAAGCGAGAAAATACATTGAGGTAGACATTCATAGTTGAGGTGAATCAAAGCCGAAACGTTTCATTGATCAAGCACAAAATTGGAAACTTATTACAATGAAGGTGAATTGGAATTCAACATCATCGCTCTAAAATGCCTGGCAGAATCAGAAGGTCTGCAGTCCATGCTCAGAGAAAGTAAACCCTCCGCCCGTAGAGATGACAAGATTCATCAATAGTCCCTACGTGAACTACATCTTCTCCTCCGAATGTACCAGAATTAAGTTGCAGTCTGCCTAGTAACGGAATTTCTGAGTCCACCCTACTCGGATGAAACCAATTCATGAATCACTAAATTGCGAGTTGAAAACACTCTGAGGAAAACTCCATGGATTCAAACGTGCGGAATCGAAGTTCAACATGCCCTAAGATCGATGAGTACGGAATTCCTGATTCATGATAGAAGGGGAAAAAGTTCGAACATCGGAGCGGACAGTACCTGGCGATCAAAGTGAGAATGAGGAAGGGCTTGTTGATTATCACTGTGAAAAACAGAGCAATTCCAGGACCCAAAGCGATCAGCGCATATCCGAGACCTCCCGCGAGGGTCATTGTTGCCAACTTCCCCCGTGTCTTCCTCGCGGCCGACAGACGGACAGACCAAATTCTCCCGTCCCTCTCCTCGTCCAATCTGGTAAACAAAATCGTCTGTCGCTGCGCACAAGCCTTCCTTGTCCTTGATCAAATGGCCTCGTCTCTTACAGACCCAGACCGCCGCAAAACTTTCCTTCCTGGAATCTGCAGCCACATCACGATAGTATGTTTCGCGCTCTCGCGCAAAAACTCTTGCCTCAGGAAAATACAACCTTGATAATCTTCATGAGTTTGGAATCAATCGTGGATATAAATCTGATCTATTCTTCGTATACTGCATATGATATACTTTATCCCATTGCGTCGACTTAAACTATGTAACATGTTACACCTTGAACCTTGATGGCTCTACTATTGATTGATGGGGCATTCCCATATAAAATGGTTATTTATTCTCTTTATCATATATAATTCATCACTGGTTAGCGAATGTCATATTCAGTTCAATTCCGTACAGATAATCAAGCAAATTGCAGAAAGATGGACAGACCAATCAAACCCGAGCGTCGATGAAACTGATGTCGCTAACAAGTTCCATTACTATCACAATAGTAAAATTGAGATCATTCAATTGGTATAAAATATATGACTATATATAGATAGATTTTTTGCATTCTCTCTAGTGATCCATCAACCAAGGTTTTCTCTTATTCCCATCTTCTATATCCAACAAAATCTGCCATACACATAAACAATTTGGTAATGTAAGTACAATATAGATTTTTGAATAAAGGATTTTTGAACTATAATCAATCATTATTCAGCTATATACTATATATGCTGAATAAATCCATGACTCAAAGTAGTGGAAACTTTTCACTTTTCATTCTAGATTCAGGTCTAAAAGTTTTAGATGAAGCATATTTAAGATGAAAATACTATTTAGACTAGTATCAAAAACTTGCTATGTTACATTTAGAATTATACTAATTCATTCTTCTTGAACATAAATAAACATTATTCCCAAATAATCTTAGTAGCATTTTCGAAAGATAGCAGGATATTGATGCTGATGGTGAACTTTCAAATAGTTTTGTCAACGTCAGCAACAAAAGTAGCTTATGGCACGACATCATGTCTGCAATCTACATGTTTGATCTCATCTGCAAATGCATCGTCATTATCAAGAGTGATTCATCAACGATGATTACCGTCTATTCGGCTTTTCGTATTAGTTTTTTACCATCTCCCTACTATATTATTCGGTGCCGAACTTGAACAAATGCAAGCTAAACTTCGTTATTGATGAATAAGAATCTATTCTCACATTCATGTGCTTGTCTTCTATTGGAATACCTTCTATCATGAGTTTCTAATGAATGTTTGACATCTTCATAGTGATTAAGTGCTCGACTTTGACAAAGTGTCATTTATTGATCAATGTTATGCAACAATTGAGCTTTTGAATCTGTAAAAGAGTATAAGCAATTGTTCAAAAATATAAGATGGAACTCATGAAGATCTGAGTCATTGAGAGTAATTTCATGACCAACTTGGCATCATATTAACCCATCAATTTCAATATGTTTATGGTCAATGTTGGTCTAAATATCATCATCTTGCTACTATTTTGATCAAGGTGAATATTGAATAAGGTTCATCAACTAACGTTGAACAGTAGCAAAAGGTGTAAAAGAGAGTGCATTGTACTTGTCTCAATCTGGCAAGTTAATATGCAAGTTGTTGTGGCGCATAATTTTTTAAACTAAAAGATAATATTGATTTTTCAAACGTCAACAATTTGAGTACCACATCGCATCTCTATGCAAGGATCAATATCCAATAGTGATGTTGGAGTCATACTACAATGGATTGGTAATCATGGCGGCGAAGTGACTAGAACAGAATATGTTGAACATGAAGCCATTAGTTGGATTAAAGAGTTCAAAGATCCAATCTTTTGATCTTTAACGAAGTTTATTTTGTTGATCAGTTGGACTTACTGCGTGTTTCATCCGCCAATGAATCACTTGAAGAGATTTTTGATTCTATTCTCTTCTGAGAAACAATGATGACTAATGTGTCGGAAATATATTATATTATATATAAAAAATGCACTATTATCGTTCATTGTATTTCACATGACTATAAAATGGATAAAAGAAGGTCTTAAATAAAAATCCTCTTTATTTCAAACATTTTAAATGTGTTTGTAGTTTTTTATAAAAAATGTATGCATGACTATATGTGAATTACCACTTAGTCAATGAGATTATATTTTTTACTTTTGTTGTCATAAATATATCAAAGTCAAACTTGAAACTAGCAAGCATATAACACACAATCAACAAGATGATTAATGCATAAGGACCAAAAGCAAACAATATCCATAATTAAAAAGCTTAATTAATTCTCAATTTTAACTAAAATTCAAATAAAAAAATCAACAATCGCAATGTAATAATTTTTTAGACCATTTGAGTTGAGAATAGTGAGTTAATCATAACAATGAAAACTTCTATCCATTATATAGATATCATTATACTTACAAATTAACTTGCACAATGTAACTAGTGCAAAAGTTGCACTCTTTGCTATTCACGATACAATCTACTTGCAACTAAGCAACTAAAAGCTTGTGGATATATATCACAAGCTTTGATGTGTTAACTTGAAGAAAATGAAAAATCAAGCAATTAAAAACGTTGTCGCTACTTATCACATATATCCACGCCCAATGTTTTCTAAGCATCATTGCAGTTGTATATGTATTTCAAACAATAGTATAATCATTGTGTGTTATAACATAAACCTTGCAACTAGATTTTCTTGCAGTAAACAGAGGTGATAATGATAATTATCAATCAACATACTTAGAAGTGCAAACAAAATGGTTTTTGTTTGAAATCTTAAAGCATAGGGATTCACAAACTTGTGAAGTTAATCAAGTTAACCATAATCTATACTATTTATCTTGTTCTGATTTGAAAATTAACAAGAAGATTAATAGTTTATAACATGTCAAGCCATAGAAAATAATCTACTTGAATATAAACTAAAGCAAAATAAGTACTTTGCCATCCAGTTTGATGCAAGTTGAAGATTAAGGTATAACAACACATGCATTTTAATTGTATGCAACAAAATATAATTAACAAAGAATTGAAATAACAATTTGAAAATTGACATTTTAACATAATCTATTTGATCTAATATGTAAAACCAAATTATATCAATGCTTAATAGATTAATATCGTCTTTCATTATATCTCACCTATATGTCAACATCTTAGCGCTCAAATACCTTGATGAAAGTATCCAAATGTCTCTTTCAAAAATAATCTTTGGATTTATTATTTCATCAAATTGTGCATTTCATTATTATCATTATAAACATTATATACTCCAATGGTACCACTACAAGAGCCATCAGAAGTTTCTCCAATGTAAGTTTTAGATATATACATTCATTATAAATGTCTGTTGGAATTAGCCCAACATAAGATGTTGGAACATTAATCTCAAGCACCTTTGAGATCTTAACACTCTCAAATGCATGGATTGTCACTTACCTCAACATGTTTTTCATCGACTATGTCTACAATTTTTGTAGATTTCTACAATTTGTTGCTTAATTTCCTGTCATACTACTTTCTAACTTGTTACTTCTTTTGTACGATAATGCTCGTTCATCCTCTTGCACCGTTGATCAATAATAGAACATGTATGACGTGTGCCATAAAACCTTACTTCTTGAGTTCCAAAAACTACTTGGGTTAAGATTGGACTCGTCAAGTAGGTGCATTAAAATTTCATTAAATATAAAAAATTATAAGTGCAAACTAGACTAAAAAAATATAATCAAATTTTATTATCTGCATTTTGAAAGTATCAAAATACAAACAATGTAATCATATGAAGTTAATTGTTGTATCCATGATTATATACAACGAATGCAATCTTGATTTATCCAAAAAATAAAAAAAGTAAGTCCAATCAATAAGTCAGAAATAATGTTATAAATTCTAGTATATCTAAAAATACTATAATGGATGAATTGCAAATAAAATATATTAATTTTATTCACATTCCCATCATACATCTCTAGTATAGATTTATATAGAATCAAATCAACTATGAAACTTTCTGAAATCCCAAAAAGTTGAGAACAAAGATGTAGGGGATGTCAATCTGACTAAAAATGACTGAAGGCGCATTTTACTCCATAAGTATTACAGTTTATACTCAATTCTAAATTGACAAAGATATTCATCTCATAATATACACTCACTCAATTATTTGAATAGTTGCATGTCATCAAATTTTATATCAAGTGAGTCAAAAGTGTTTTTAGATTGTAGATGCAAGATTGATGACACGACGAGTAATACATGCGGATCAATTAACATCAAGGGTGGATGAGAGTATTCATTAAACTCCAGAGAATTTTAGTTTATCTTGCTCCGGAAATCTCAGTATTTAATGTGCGAAATACAGTTTTTGTCGAAACGTGCAATCTATCAGATAAGCTTATAAAGAAAGACTATAAGTCTCACCAATGTAGACCTAAAGTGGAACTCAACTCAACGGACAACTTCTGGTTCGAACCATGTTCGTCCACTTGCGGTCGAATATGGGGCGGAATCATCGGCGCCATATTAAGGACGATGACCTGGATAAAGAAAGAACAAACCAAACCGGCTACCAGGCCACCAACGGACTACTACCGGCTCTCACCGGTGTGCGCTGCGGAACATGGAACTCAAGGCGCCATCGTGCTTTGCGGATGATTCGATTTCGAAAGCGCATGGAGGGAGAGCGCTCGCTGGTCGAGCTCGAGCTCAAGGGCCTCGAGGAGGTCTCCACCGCCAGAATTCGTCCGAGAGAGTGGTGACGACTGCCTGGCGGATGCAGTGGAGAGGGAGGAGCGAGTGATTGTTCGGGCAATGGCGAATGAGATATGCGGAAGTGAGGAGGAGCGACCGCGGATGAATTTCAGGCGATGGATGGACGAGCAGATTCGAGTTTGGCGGAGCGGTTTTCCTTGAGGTAGTGTGGCGATCATAGTAAATGTGAATGATGAGTTGTGGTTGCGGGTTGGTATGCGCTGAAGAAGGAGCTGAGGAGGAGCAGGAGGAAGAGGAGGAGGAGGAGGAAACAAGGGAGCGGAGGTCGGAAAGGGAAGGTCCGTAAGCAGTTGCAATGCAGGGAGATGTTTTGCTAGACAAGGAGAATGTCGGACCTAGAGGGAGCGCGGCATGGAGCCAGCAGGCGATGGTGGCAAAGAACAGAGGATTGGGGGGAGGAGCAGGGCACGACGTGGTTCGAAAGGAGAAATCGGGAGTTCTCGCTTCCAATGCCACGACCAATAATGGAGGTGGAGCGGCAGGTCTTGGTTCTTTGGAGTCCCTGAAGGAGAGGGTCAAGCTGCTGACGTTGAGTAAGACATCGAATGGAGCATCATGGGATCCGGGTTCCAGGTAATGTCTTACGTCCTCACGCCTTCTCTCTTTGCTTGTTTTCTTGTGGCTTATCCTCGACTGATACTTCACATCCATTCGGTCAGGCCACAGAAACACAACCCACTGTCATCTTGTTGTATTCCATTTCTAGTTTTCCCGTGCTTCCTTCTCCCGTTAGATTGGTTCGATTGTCTACTCATACGGAGACAGTGTGGAGTCCATTTCGGAAAAATCCTTCTGATCAGTTGCTTTCCGCAACACCTTGTTCTAGAGCAGCTATTGAATCGTGTATCCAGATTAGAATTTCCTTCCACTTTACTCCAGATTTTACTGGACTTGGCAGTATCCTCAGACTTAGCAAGCCTCTTCACTACAAAGATCCATTATTACTAGCTGGAGTAGAGTGTCACCATGTCACTGGCTCATGCTCCTCCGCATTACTGTCTTCCACAGGCTGCTCAAGCATAGATCTCCGCTGGTGGACATTAAAGCTACTGAAGGGTTGGTCAATGGTTCCGGTGGAGGTCTCTCTTCGAAGGATGGCATGGGATTTGCAACAGCTCATGACCGCCATCCTTCTCATTCCCAAGAAATTCCAAGCATCTCCAAAGTGTCTCATCCTAGGCCGAGTACTTCTGAACAGCATGATACTGATCTCAAAAGCAGTCTACACTCCAATGGAGGTCATGGGGGTTCGAAGTTGAATGCGCTGAAGAAAGGGAATGTTCTAGAATTGTACGAGGAAGATATAGCACAGTCGCGGGATAGGAGAGAAGCCAGTCGGAGCAGGGTCGAGGCATGGGTCAACGCATTTGGGCATACGCCCAAAACCAGAGAATCGACATCACCAGAACGATTTGCTACTGACCAGAATGTGAAAGCTAGCCGAAGCTTTGAAAAGCATCAGATAGAGAGCAGGACGCAGAAGTCGCAAAGTTTAAGCACAAGCAGGGATGGTGGTCCATGGAGTGGTGCGAAGAGGCAGGGGACACCATATAAACTAAGGCCACTTCTAGAAGAGGAGAAAGTAGGGCAAATGACACCGGAGAATGAAGCTCAAAGAAACGAAATTGAGGTTCGAGTTGCTGCGGGTCATGGTTCTCCCGTGGCTTCGAGGTCTTTAAATATATCTCAGTGTAGAGATGTGGAGTATTCCAAAGTACATGGTGAGGAGGACAAATTCGGAGTCAGGTCATCTACCGAGAGAGGTTTGAATCCTTTTGGTAGTCAATCAGCAGATAGGGTTAGTGACAGACGAAGGTCAGAATATTACGCCTGTGGTTTATCAGCACCTGCAGAGATCCAAAGTGCTCCCGTCTTGGACACAAGTCGGAGGGCTCTCAACGAGAAGATTACCTTCTCAGAAAGTATCAGGCTTACCAGAACCAGTGGAGTCTGGAGTCATTCAAAGGATGTTCATTCCACGCAAGAAGATTCTTACGATAAGGAGTGTTCTAAGTGGCATTCATATCATACTAACATGGATGCCACCGCCATTGCTCCCAGTTCGTCCTTCTTGTTGTCTGTAATGACAGGAGCCAGCAGTAGTGGGAGTAGTGCCACGCCAGGTTTGAGTGAGGGTTCCTCCAGAGACGAGGACACAGTCGCATATCCAGAAAGCTCAAAGCAAACGCCTTCTTCCAAAGAGCACGCGATTCCGTCATCTCGCGAACGAATGATCAGTCGATCCAGGATTAGCAAACGGTTGAAACCTCTGGGTAAGGTTAACTACCTCCTGACCTTTCTGTCTGATGTTTGACAAGTTTTATGATTCTGTTTGGAGGGTATATGAGCCAGACAAAAGGTGGCCATCGATTGCCTCGACATGGTTTTTTGATGAAAGCAGCGTGTAGTTGTCAAAACAGTAGAGAACAACTTTGTCTCAAAAGTTGTTCTCTGGCGTATGGTCTAGGGCTTGGATACAGTTAGTGAGTTCGATCCTAAGTTTGTACTGTTTGCTAGACTTAACGAGTAATAGTCATCCCATTATGGCCTGCTACTTGGAAGTTTGGTGTGATGTGTTAGAAAATGTGAGTCAACCATTGCTGCTTTTCTACTGAGTATCTCTTGTCGTGCTGACTTGGATTTGCTTCAATTTCAGGCCCAGCATCTAGGTTGTTACTATCAGGACCCGCTCTCCGTGTTCCTATTGACAGTGATGGCAGCATTACATCTAAAGACAACAGATCTCCAAACAGCTCGAACCTAAGTCCAAACGTACAGTCTTCTCCCAACAAAGTTGCTGCCAGTATCACCAATTTGCCTTCACCGATTACTCCAGAGGAAGCCCAAAAATGCCGAGATGTTTTTGGGCTGGTGGATAACGATCTGCTAGCAGACTTGAAAAAGAGGAAGGCAGAGGATGATCCATCTATTGGGGAAGTTTCTCAGGTTGATAATGAATGCAGCAGCGGAAACAAAATTCCCGTTGAAAGAAGCATCCAATCTGCATCGCAATTATCCAGTGATCGGCTCGACGATGCACGAAGGAGCAATTTGCTGGGTCTCAAGGCTTCTCTGTCTAAAGAATATCATAGACCACTACAAAAGGGTGAAGAATTTGGAGCTGGGCATCCAAGTTTCCAGAGAGGAGCTGAATCAACAAGTGTTGGCGATTCTCAGTCCTCACAACGTGAAGCTGGAAGAGCTTCATTACTTCATCGTTCTGCTGATTTAGCATTGAGTTCCAAGGGAGTGTTACTGAAGGTACATAATCATGATGCTGGCACAGCAGCTAGCAGATTGTCTGGGGGGATATCAGAGAAGCCTCTGAATGGTTTGGATTCACTGCAAATTTCCAGAAGTATGGGGAGTCGCGAGCAAGGGCACTTGGCTCAGGTGAAGCAGCCCGCTGATGCAGTCGGTCGTTTTGCCATCAACTTGCCTGTAAGCAATTTACAGGTCGACCCGAAGCACTCGCCCTCCTTGGATGCCCGTGCGAGATTCGCAGAGACAGAGGGAAGCCGAGTCTTGTCTGGGAAAGGAAGCGCTGAAGCAAAAGAGGGAAATGAAGCTGTTAGTATGTCTCAGGATGGTTTGTCTCTTAGGGACAAAAGTGACACCAGGCCTGCATCTGTCCAGGATCTGTCTAATTCTCTGGGTTCATTGTCTCTTGGAGATGTGCAAAGCAAGGTTCAGGGCAGACTTCCACTTCAAAATCTTGTGAATACTTCGTCGTCACACCCTCCTGGTGTCCCTGTAAATCAAGCAACCAGTAAGCGCCAGGAGAACATCGGAGTTGTTCATAACACCTCAAATTCTTCTGGGAAATCTGTAGTAACCTTTGAAAGTAAACCTCAAAATTCAAAGAGTTTACCCTGTGAGAAACCGAGAGAAGAATTGAGTGAGGCATCCGAGGAGTCCCACATGAAGGAGCCGAAAGTAGAATGCGGCCTGAAACCAGTTCATGCAGAGAGATCCGAGGCCGATGATTCGAGTGCACAGCGTTCAGGTGAGGACCAACCGAAAGATGATGGAGAAGGATCTGCAGCAGTGATCAAGCGGAAAGTGATGGAAGACGAAAAATTTTTCTGGGTTAACGATAAAAGGTATCAAAAATTGGGAATGATAGGTAAGGGTGGCAGTAGTGAAGTATACAAGGTTATTGATAGCGAGTTCTCTATCTATGCCTTGAAGAAGATCACATTGGGAGGGCGTGATCACTCTACGGCCCGAGGTTTCTACCAAGAAATAGAATATCTGGAGCGTCTTCGAGGAAAGCGACATATTGTCCAACTGATTGACTGCGAGGTAAGCACCAACAGTCACATACCCCTAAATTCAGCGCATTTGAAAGCCTCTCAAAATCGCACAGTTCACTTCAGCAGGGGCGTTTACATTGGCATTTATACTCACTGTCCACGTGAATATGGCAATTTTTGATCGAAGTTACTTCCTTTCATGTGTGTAGGTCACTGATGGTTTTGTGGTTGAGGAGACCTGTGGGGACGAAAAAATCCAAGAAGATGTCTGTATATACATGGTACTGGAATTTGGAGAAATAGATCTTGCCGGGATCTTGAGCAAGAGGCGAAAGGAAATGTTGGAAAGCAATGAGCCTCTAGATGACAATTGGATTCGCTTCTACTGGAAGGTAAATATCCCTCTTAGGGACCTTTAGTGTCGACACGTGCAAGACTTTGAACCGACTCTCGATGTGATTGTGCAGGGGTAAAGTACGATGTACATATCTTGGGGTTCATCTATTTTTGGGGATCAGTCATAGGAAAAACCTCCATTAAAAATTTTGGAGTTTCTATACTAATTTGAAGATACGGTGAACAAACTTACCTGAAGTATTTTATCTGCAAGCACTTCTAGATCTGGATCACGCAAACAGCACAAAGACGAGGCTGATGTTATAAACTTGGTCTTTATTCGATTCTAAAACGGAAAGTCGTGGTGTTTTGATGCAGCATATGTTGTCAGCTGTGAAGACTATCCACGATGAGCGTATCGTACATGCGGACCTCAAGCCGGCCAACTTCTTGCTGGTCAAGGGAGAACTGAAGTTGATCGACTTCGGAATTGCAAAAGCCATACAAACTGACACGACACACGTTGTGCGAGATTCACAGGTCATTATCTACAGAATAGCCATTTTTGCTTTGAACGACCTTGAGCTATTATAATTATCAATGTATCCTGTACCTACTGGATCTGAGCACTTTTATTGGATATGCAGGTTGGTACTTTAAATTACATGTCTCCAGAGGCACTCATCGACAACAGCAAGGATGAGGACGGTCGAGTATTCAAATGTGGTCGATCTTCAGACATTTGGTCTCTAGGTTGCATTTTATACCAGATGGTTTACGGGCACACTCCTTTCTCCCATATCCGATCAATGTACCGGAAAATTCAGGCCATAACTTCCAGTAACTTTAGTATAGAATATCCACCCATCAGGGACCCATGGTTGTTAGATGTCATGAAGAGGTGTTTGACGTGGGATCGTCATCTCCGTCCTGACATAGCGCAGTTGTTACTACACCCTTTTTTACGCCCTGACTTGGCACCACACAAATAGATAATTGTGGTGTCAGTCTCTCAATTTTGAGATATTTTAAATTCTTGGTTTCTTTGTATTCTTCTCTTTTCTGTTCATCTACATGAACAACTATTAAAGGATGGCAGGCGATCTATTTCTGCAGAGAAAAGTGCTAGGCACCTTTGGGCGAGTTTCCGCCTATCAGGATAATGTGTCATAGAATTAGAGAGGCTCACCCCTCGCTGTCTTTCTCTTGTACTTATATTGCGGAGGTTTACATCTCTGCTGGTTTTCACTAGATTTTTCTTTTCCATAGGTTTCTGGGACTCCCCTTCTCCTCTATTTTCCCTTGTATTCAGGGTGTAATCTTTTGGATCCTGATAGTCTTCTTATTATCATTTCAAGGTTCTCTTACCAAATCCTCTGAACTTTGAACAGAATGGGCATGAAACGGAGGTTCATCCCGATGTTATAATGGGATTGCGCAGAGTGGTGCATACGTATTGTGCATAGACATCTGGACTGTTGTAGTAAACCCGCTTTCCGCGACGTTTTTATTCTTCTTTATGGGTGCAATTATTTTTTCACGCTTCTACCTACAGTTTTGATTACATTGTTGAGCTTCGTCACAATCCAAGTCCATATAGATTTTATTCTAATACGCAAATGTATGTTGCCATGGCGATTTAAGGAGAAATTTGCTTGATGGGACCGTCGGAGACTCAAACCTCTTGATGGGATCCAACAGGTTTCGATTTACCCTATGGGACCCCATTCGAAGGTCACAGTCAGCCATGTTCTTATAACCTACTGATTTGCTCTACAGTGTGGGAGCGTCCGCCACTGTTGGACGTAATCTTTGTGGTGAGCAGTCCAGCTTAGAATTAAGCTCGTGGCACCGGCCTCGCCATACCTCTGTACAATAAAGGACCCGTGGACGTGGAAATTTGCGGAGTAGCACCAAGAGACTCAAATGATAACTCGGTGGCCACAAAACGAGCCCCAAGTATGGCTCTGGTTCAAGTCTGCAAGTTAATATCAGCAGTTAAGGGTTTGTATTGGAACTAGCTTCCCAAAAGTTCAGTCCTGTTGGTATTTTGAGTTTGTACAGTCCTCGGTCATGGACATATCGCCTAGGACGAAGTTACTTGATGGACCCCTTGGAAACTCAACTCTCTTGAAGCATCAATTTACCCTATGGGACCCCATCAGCCATGTTCTTATAACTCACAGATTTGCTCTACAGAGTGGGGAGTGTCGGCCATTGCTGGGCCAGAGTATTTTGGCGACTCCTTCCAGCCATGTCTAAGAAAACGACGGGCATCATGAGTCTGAACCGTGACTTCATCTTTCTACTCGAAATAGCCCCAGATAGTCCTTTAACATCACTTAAGGTGGGACTGTAGGTTGTCGACGAGGGAAAATGAAATCTGTCGGTCCCATCAAGTGGTTTGAGTTTCCCAGGATCCCATGAGTAATTTCATCTATCGCCTAGAGAAGGGATTCATGAAATCTAAAATATAAAATTCATTCTCTGAAGTAGAATAGATTGAATCGCTACCCACTCAGCTTATTGGAGTCAAGAAGTTTCTTAACGCTGTGTAACAACACGCAACACTCACGTAATTTAGAGTCAGGCTTAAAAAAAAATGTTTTCGGTATTTTGGGTTGTTAAACTGACAAATATATAAACGAATCCCTGTAATGCAAGAGTAGAAATGTGAACATCCATTCCTGTTTCATTCGATAAAAATTGGAGATATAATTACATATGTGAGCAGTGAAGATAATACTACACCAAGTGTTGGCTCTAAATGAGGGCACATGTAGCAGATGTGTTTTACTTTCTCTTCTTGTCGAACATATTGCATTGTACATGTTCTTCGTTAAAAAAAAAACACCTAATATTTCATGAGCAAGTCTCACCAACTATGCTATAAAAACGGATTAGACATAGCATAAATTCTCTAATCTGCCGAAATGCGAACAATTATCAAAAGCTAAACTGTAATTGAGACATGATCCGTTGGATAGAGATTTCAATTTGGCATATGAAATGTCTACCAAACGAACTATATGACGTTGTTCCAACACAATGTATGTCTCCTTGTTGCCAAACTATCCTAGAACAATGCTCAAGAATCATATATCCAATTTCAACTCAGACCGGCATTACATCTTTATTAAAGTCACAAGGTTTAGATTCTACTCCAAGATTAGATTTTTATGCTCTTACTTCTCTGGTCAAAATATCATGACTTGCCTCATGACATCATTCTATATGATCAACATGCAACCTTTCATCAGAACGTAATATTGAATGGAGATTAAGAAAATTCACATGATCGATCAATCATTTGGAGATTTATAAAATCATGTATGTTACACATTTGACATGAATAGTATACAAGTGTATAAAATTCAAGTATATATGTGATGTGCTTTATCAAATTTCCAATATATTATATAACACAACATTATGATTATTGATTATGGAATTGAAAAAAAGATGACAATGCTATTTATTGTGACAAAAAACCCGAGAAATGCAACAGATAGCATCAAGGATTCCAACACAAACCAAACAACAAGAAAACTAACTGGTTATGTCTTATCATAAACAATATGTCTCTCGTCTAACAATTAAAACCTAGTGCTAATTTTAATTCAAAGTTAACTATCAAATAACTCAAGTTAGTGCGAAACAATAGTTTATACTAACAAATTCTTTCAAATTCTTAACAAATTCATGTTGAGGAAATAATAATTTCTTGAATCTATATGATTATTCTATGAGAAACTTTAGCAATAAATTTAACAAAAGATTACTCTTTAAACAAGAGTAAGCCGTAACATGACGAAATAAAAATATATAAAATTAACTAAAATTCTATTAGTATTTCTCATGAAAAAATTGTACAATAACACAATGTCTCTTAAAACTTTACAGAAGAATAATTTTGATGAACGCATCAGCAAATCTACTGTCAATATTCATTAGCTCAATACTTTCATCAAAAACAACATGTCTGATAAAGTTATATATGATGTTGATGTGTTTCAATCTATTGTCTGTCACTTGATTTACAACAACATGTAAATTATTATTACTATCATAATGAAGATTAACAATTTTATGTTTCAATTCCATCTCAATGATAAGCACATCTAACCAAAGAATTTTCTTTGCCGATTTTGTTATTGCTATATACTCAGCTTCCGTTTTAGACTAAGCTCCTCACTTCTACAAGATTAATTTTCAATGGATGCATCCATCATCAAATGTAAACACAAATCCGGTTGTATATTTCCTTCGGTCCAAATTTTGTTCATAGTTAGCATCAAAAGATTTAGCTCATCTAAAAATCATCAAATAATAAACCATAATTCTTAGAAGTATTCAAATATTTGAAAATCCATTTCAATGCTTTTCAGTGAAACTTCGCTAGATTTGACATGTATCTATGCATCTTGCTCATCGCTAGAGCAATATCAGATCTTTTATATATCATCATATACATGAGGCTACCCTCATCTAAGGATACAACATAACATTTTTCTTTTTTTTCCATAGCATTGGTTAAACATTTAGATGCAAAAAGTTTGAAACTTGCTACCAAAGAAGTCCATACTCCTTTGGAGTCTGCCATTTTGTAACTATTAAGTATACATTAAATATACTTATCTTCATTCAACCATAACCTCTTCTTCACAAAATTGATATAAATGTCCATCCCTAATATAATCTTAGACGCGTACAAATCTTTCATTTTGAATAGAAATTTCAACTTGTTATTGCATTTATCAATATCATATTGATTTTTCACCAAAATAAGCATGTCATTCACATAAAGTACTAGAATAATAAGATTGAAGATTTTATTTATCATCTTTTTTATGTATATACAAGAATCATACACACTCAGTGAAAAATCTCGTGACTTTGTGAAATCATCAAATCTTGCATTTCGCTACTAAGAATCTTGCATCAATCCATATAATGATTTCAACAATCTAGAAACTAACTTGACATCTTTACTCAAAATCAACTGGTTGTTCATGTACATTTACTCCTCTGGAGATCCATAGAGGAATGTAATAATTACGTCTATGTGATACATAACAAGACTAAATATTACAACCAGTGCATATACTAGACAAATTGTGGCATACTTTGCTACAGGTGAGAAAAATTTGTTATAATCCACATCGTTTTTGTGTGAAAGCTCTAGTCATCAACCTGATTTTGAAGATATTCTTCTTATCATTTGGATTATTGTAACACTAGGGTTTAGAGAGAAGTTCACTCGAAGATAGAAACGTAAACTCTGAAAATGAGAGATATCAACAATGGTTCTCCTCTACCTTATATAGCTCTCACCAACAAGTACAAGGAGATAAAATCTTATCCCCATCATCCATCTCACTGCTAGTGGATGAATGACGTGGCGGATAATCCTAACAAGCACACGGATTGGTGACGTGACACTCCCAACTAACACATTCAATCCTTACATAACAAGCACACGGATCGAAGACGTAGCGCTGTCAACTAACACACCTACTCTCTACTTACCAAGCGCATGGATGACTCACGTGACAACTACGACTAGTGTACTCTAAATTATCTATATCAATGTTTCAAGTAATCTCTACTTTGGTTCTAACTAACTAAAGATGGTTACAATTATACTTCAGCTTGTACATTCACTTGCAATCCATCAAAGTCTCATTACTAGGAAGTCCAACTAGCTTCCAAGTTTTGTTATCAATCAACGACTACATCTTACGCTCGATAGAAGCATTCCACTCATGTTTTTGTCAATAAGTTTGAACTTGTTTTTAAGAAGAAGACTTTTCTTCTTCCAAGATCAACAAAATGCCGTCATCATACACTGTATTAATGTCACGATCTTCAAGAATGGATAAATCAATCTATAAACTATACACCATAAGAGCTCTACTTATTTGATTTGATGATCTTCTAGTAAAAATTTATGGTTGATCTCTATCATCTGATGCAGTAACTTGAGGGTGCTCATCTAGATCCTTTCCCTCAACAACTTGCTCATGCTATAGTGGAGCTTCTCCTTGTGTCACATAATGGTCAAATTTTGCTTTCACAACATAATTCCTTGTGAGTCTAGGGAGCTTGAGAATTCATGGAATAAATTGATAAACTCGACTCATTGAAAAAAACAGCACAATTGACAATAACCTTACATTTACAAAATTAGAGAGTCTATAACCATTTACACCACTAGCATATAAAAAACTGACACATTTTGGATGTATGATCTAATTTAGTCATATTCTCGAGAGTATAAACAGTACACCCAAATATTTTCTTACAATTATAATAAGTCTTCTATTTGTGACTCAGTTCAAACGGTATAAAAAAATTGATTGCACTAGAAAAAAAAAGTTTACCAAAATATACTACAGTATTGACAACTTCAGCTCAAAATTCATATGATAAACCAGATTGATTGAATATTTTATGCATTTTCAACATTATTTGAATGAATTTTCCAAAAACAACATCATGTTATACACTATACAATGTGATGAGATAATGAGTAATACTTTACTCTTTAAAGTAGTTACAACACTACTAAAAAATATACTTCTTGGCAATATCCGTACGGAAACATTTCATCTCGTGTCAACTTGAACTTTTCAACTTTTGAAAGTTATAAATATCTTAGATTTGTGTGAGAAAAAATAAATCCACACAAATCTTGAGTTATCATCAATAAATGATACACAATACAACTTCTTAAAAAGGGAGGTTTTAGAAGAGTATCTTCACACGCCATTATTTACAACGTCAAATAACTAATTGAAACTATGAAATCCAACACCAAAGACTTGTCCATGATTCAATGTTTGCAAAACTTCAAGCCAACTTTATCCATGCCAAGAAATAATTTTCTCTCCTCTAGAATGAACATATATCTAGTATTCATGTGTCCTAGCTTAAGATGCCGCACATAAGACATCTCAATTTGATATTTACTGAAGTTCACTATCTCAAAGATGATATTACTCTCTAGCAAATATAGATATTTGTGTTTATATAGTCTAAAAATGATCTTATTTGGTACTTCAACCTTAAAGCACGACTTTCTTAGTTCTTCATTCAAGATACTTTGAGTTTAACATTTCAAAAAAGATCAATTTTTTTCTCATATCAAGTATAAATTTAATTGGAGTCAATGTATATTTGATCCTATCATACATGCGGATCTTCTCAAATCTAACACCCTCAATCTTAAAGTGTTGATCATTTAGCTTAAAAATTGATACATTTGATATAAAAAATAAAAAAAGCTCTCTATCGCAAACATATGTGAAAAATAATGCTTATTATTAAACAATCAGTATTAAGAATCCATACTTCATAAACAACTTTTGATGAGTTTTTTTATAATTAAATTAGATAAATGTTTGAAATCATGTCTATGTAAATCCAAGCATTCATAATTCATAATTCAATCTTTTTCTTGTTTTTGGTTGAAATCTAGGTGTATGTGTATAAATTTAGAGATTAATATATATTGAATTAAAATATAAATCAATTTATCAAAAAATTCTGAAGAGAGAATAACAAAAACAGCATACACTTTGTTTGGAAGGATCAGTCAATGGATCAAGAAATTATCACTAAAAGGTGTGAAGCTAATGAGAATGCTTAAAGCAGATATGGGGAATGAAAATCGGGGCTTCGAATTTCCTTTACCAGCAGAAATTTATACTTCACAAGAGTCAGGTCCTGAAATCTCCTTCAGTACTAGGTATTAATCCTGCAAATGGATTAAGTGATGGCTATCAAATTTATAATAAGACCTCACCCCACGTTCTTCGAGTAACATTTGATACTGTCGCAATAGATCAAATTCGCTCCGTGCTTGTTCATTCACTCCTCCCATAACTCCCACACTCTCCTCGTACTCCTCGCGAACCAAGTCGATCTATTGTTTTTTAGCCTTTTGACCCTTTGGGTCCCACGGGCTTGATCCATTTACCACCATTTACCATATTGAGTCTTTCTCCAGTTTTGGCCCCTGGGTCAACCTTGGCGGTAGTTCAAGTACCCTGATAGTCCAGCACAGTACAGTCCAGCACCAAAAGTGAATGGCAGTGTTGTAAGTACCGGACAAACAACTGGCCAAACCAACTTCGGTACTCGGTTTGTCAATGCCGTTGATTTCCTCGGTTCTCCCGGAATCGTCACAAACCGTGGTAGGCTGGTACAATCATAATGACATCTTCTTTTCACCACAGTTTGCTTTTAATGGTGGATTCTGTCGCTGCTCTAGACCACACAACGCAACAGTACACTACAATAATCTTGTGAGGACGTTGCAAGATCTGAGTGGGAAAGAGTGACGCCTTAGGAAGGAATATATTGGTGTCCTGGGATTCGTCTAAACCTGGGGCAGTCAAAGTGGGAAGGGGAGGGTCGTTGAAATATTTCCTCGCCCCTAAGTTCTGGACCGATCTGTCGTCGGATACGCTTTTGTCGGGACGAGGGACGAGATGTCTGCTGGTGGCGCTTGCCACTCGAGTCCATGTCTCGGTCGCAATTAGGCTCTTATCCATCTTGTTGGAGGCTGGACTCATGAGAAAGGGCGACTTCCCCACATTAGTCACGAATCATTGCACCAGCTAATCTTCGTGCATGAGGCGATCAGGCGCAGAGGGTAGACGTAGTTTGGTCTTCGGCAATTCACCACAGGGGCGCTCGTTGGCCGCCTACCTTGGAGCAGAGCAGTGGAGTGGGTGGCGCAGACGGGCCTCGGGCTACGCGACACACGACAGTCCGAGAGGTTACAATACACCCGTGGATGACGAATGGTGGATGGACTAACCATTCTACCGTAGGACATGTGCCAATGCTGTAGTTTAATCATTATCGCGAGGCAGATCGTGAGCGGTGAGATGGAAGTATTTCTGGTTGGAAAGAGCGCCCGAATCAGACAAACTTCGTGCGGTAATGTTCATCACGTCAGACGTGGGTATGCCACGCGATGCGATACGATACGGCATTGGCATTGGCCTTCTTCTCATCAGCACTCGCCTCGTCGAGCTTCTCTTCAGCAAGCAGACGATGGGGTCCATGAGGTTGACGAGGTGGAGAGATGAGAGATGAGTAGTCCCACACATAGTTGGAGCATCTAACGTACGCAACAAATACAAGTGACGTCAGCTTGTCATGGGCACATGAATCACCTGCTGAGAGTCTCTAGTTTACGAGCAGAAAAAGTAGATCCGATAGAATGCGACCGTCATGTGGATATGAGTCCCGCTTTCGTCAACCTCGTCAGTCCGAGAGTCCTCTCTCTCACATTGTGACTCTGACACAGCACAGCAGCTGTCTGTCATGCAGCTGCTGCTGTTCTCTGCACCGGACAGCACTCTAGACTAGGGCGGTGAATGTGACGTCCACCCGCGGCAGGCTCTCGAATGATGCAGCAGCTGCTGCAGCCGATTCGAGTCAGAATCATCATCATCCCGCTGACCAGCTAGCCAGCGACAGCGGAGGTGAGCGAGAATGTTGTTGCTGGAGGTCGAGAGCTTGTGGCTTTCTGGGGAGAGATTAGAGAAGGTGAGGGAGGAGAGAGCAGCAGCTCCTCCTAGTCCGGTTCGTGAAATTCATAATGTTAAGGTTGTGGTTCATCTCCATCCGCCGTAATGTACCAGCCAAAACAGATCCATGAAAATTAACATGTCGACTGAGTAATTCTATCATATATACATTCATCCGCCGTAATTATAAGAAAATGCGATCGGTGGCCTCAGATAGCAAGTAACCTCTTCTAACTTTGTGCAATGAGTATGCCGGAAACCTTTGGGTTTCAAAGCCTGCCTGCCTGCCTGTCTATATTCTACCAATTGGTGTGGTCCTTGACGAACACCATGAAATTAGCACCATGGACCACACCAAACAACATGAGACGATCATTAACTTTGCCCTCGTTGTGTAACTCGTTTGATTTTTTTATTTCACGTTGCTGCAATAAAATACCAAGAACAATCTACATCTAGCGGAGAGCAGATGGTATGCACTACCTAGCGTAAAGTCGAGTACCATAATTATCGTGAAAGTGAATGTGGATGAAATATAAAAGACGAGGAAGTCACGACGAGAGAAGATGTGGATGGTGATGGAGATAAAATAACAGAACATCAAGCCGTCCAAGAGACGAAGATGATGATGTTTTACAATAAATTTACAGTGACGGGTCATGACAGTTGTGGCATTAGTTGATGATGAGAAAAGCCCACCAGATTCTATTTACTACGGCGGCTAAATGAATACAATATGAACGCGCGCTTAGGAGGTCTCCATCCCAGTGTACAAAATGCAGACTACTTACAATGCTCGATCGATCTGTGGACCCGGCCCACTACTACCTTAGAAAAAACAACAATTGTAGCTTCGTCTCCGCCATCTCTTCTTCCAATACCACAATCTATACCATTCCCGGAAACACTAATGTAGCACACCATACAACCGCAACAGTCGTTCGATCGTTCGTTCGTCGGATGTATGTATGCGTCAACCCAAACCAATCTCATTAACAAGTTGCAGCGTGAAACTCCCTACACACTAAAGAATTGAGTCTTCCTTCAAGAGACTGTTATTGGACACAAATTTTAGCTCATTTGGGTTGATGCAGTTCGCTGCTGCACGCAGCTCGAGGCCATCGCTTAAGTTCTCTTCTTGAATGGCACGGCGCGGATGACCAGTAGATGGTATGCTGCTGCCAAAGCTGCTCCCAGGAACGGTCCAACCCAGAAGATCCACTGCACCCATACCACAAGCTTTAAGTCAGCATATATGGCCTTACATTGCAATCACATCCTTCCGAAAAAAAACGCACTTGGAATAATAAGCAAGCCATGTGCCACTTTTGCTATTATCTGTGTCGCAGTTTAGATATGTGTTGGAGGTTTCGAGGTCTGGTCGATTTTAGTAAACCGCATACTTACGTGGTCGGACCAGGCGTGGCTCCTGTTGTAAATGATGGCAGCTCCCAGAGAACGGGCTGGGTTGATTCCGGTTCCGGTGATGGGGATGGTAGCGAGGTGGACGAGGAAGACGGCGAATCCGATGGGAAGGGGTGCCAACACCTGCCATGCATGCACGCAAGGGGGCTCGTTAATACAGACGACTCCAAGAGCATATAACCAACTGATGAGCAAGCTGAGTATTCATCCTTGTTCCTGTAGTGAGGAGTGAGGAGTGAGGAGTGAGCGAGAGAGCACTGAACACTAGTTTCTGAACACAGCTGCTGCTGCTGCTGCTTCTTCCTGCTGAGGAGAAGTGGATGCTCTTAAGAAAGAGGACTTGTGACTTACGGGGACGTGAGAGTCACGAGCGTTGCGCTTGGCATCGGTGGCAGAGAAGACGGTGTAGACCAAGACGAAAGTGCCCACGATCTCAGCACCGAGACCTGATCCCTTGGTGTATCCGTGAGCGACGGTGTTAGCTCCTCCACCGAATTCCTCGTATGGACTCTTCTGGAAACCCTTCACGACTCCTGCTCCGGCAATGGCTCCCAAACATTGGCAGATAATGTACAACAAAGCACGGGGAAGTGAGACCTTGCGTGCCAGGAACAGTCCGAAGGTCACAGCGGGGTTGATGTGTCCTCCTGTTTACACATACACAAGCGCAGATTTTGGGAACCATCCCGTCAGTATCAGAAGCAATACCTCTGCCCCTGCCTTGACATCAAGTTTCCAAGTATATGATGATTTGGCCCGCATGCGTCAGCTCTACTGCCCATTTGTGTAACGTGCTGCAACTGATGCCTCGCTCGCTTGAGTAAGAAGAGGATTCAATCCTGGACTCGAGAGCTCAAGGACTTCGACGATCTGAGCTGTAAACTAAAAGCTAGCCAGCCATCTGAGTGCCGAAGGTAGAAACCACTCAGGTTTTCTCCACATATGCACGCATGAGAGAAAATAAGTTATGTCCTCCTACTCCAACTCTCTTAAGAGAGACCACTGATCAGATTTCCGCTAAGCAGGTTGAAAGTGAATAGCAGAGCTCGGCACAATGTCGTAGTGTGGATGAAAAAACGAAGCAACTTTTGAGAAGGACCATGTAGGATCCATTCGAAGCCGTGTCTCTTTGGAACTGTAAGTATACTCTTACGTCTTCGATTAATGGGGATCCGCGAGGCGAACTGGTAGCATTGGGTTTAAGAATAAAATCAAACGATCGCTGATGTGAACGAAAAACGAAGAGTGAAACAAAGGCTGGGTAGAGGAGTAAGGGAGAAGAATTGTGGAAACAGTACCTGAGATACCGGCAGTGCAGTAGACCAGCACGAAAATCATACCACCAAAGGCCCATGCAATGCCCTGGATACCAACACCATTGCAACCTCCTAGGCGAGACTGACCGAGGACGGTGCCGACTGTGATGTATAGGAACAAGAATGTTGCGATAAACTCGGCGATACCTGCCCTCCAGAACGACCACGAAGTCAGCTCAGACTTGTCGAACAGAGGTGCTGCTGCGGGCTCTTGGTAGTCCTTCTCAACCTGAGCGCTGGTTCCGAGAGGAGACCTCTCGGAGAACTTTCCAGCTCCGATCTGGACATCATCCAACTTGTCTCCCATCGTGAATTCCTGTTTTCTGTGATAGCAAGCAACAAGGAAGTGTCAGCAGCGCTCCGGACCCTGCTCGCTCCAGCTCAAAACGCCTTCCAAATTTAGCTCGTCAAAGCTCATGAAGCAGCAACGAAGGCATAGAAGAGGTGTAGTGCTATGTAGAGAAAGCAAGCGAGCCCGAGGTCAAAGAAAGCAAGCAGTTCCACGACGGACACAATGTGCCTAGTACCTAAATGAAGCTCCCAAGCAGAGGCGGTCGAGAAAGGGATGAGGGAGCGAAGGAGGAGAGGAGAGCGAGAGTGGGCCTAAATTGGAAAGTGGAAAGATATGCTTCCCGAACTCTGCGAGTGCAATTTAAGGGAAGTGGGGGATTCAGAGCTTTAGACAAGAGACAAGAAGAGCGAGCCGGAGGATAGCATGCCCAAAAGGCTAAAGTGCTTCGAGAGAGAGAGCGAAGGAGAGACAGAGAGACGTTGTGGGGACATGGGTTGGCCTCGCACTCAAACGGATGGATCGATGATCAGCTCGACCCGCAAAGCACAGCAAGCACAGCGCTCCAGACAACCCGACCCAACCCGACCCGACGGAGCGTGGCCCGAAAAGTGAGAGACAGACAGAACACAGCCAGGCAGTCAAGTCAGAAGAGTGTCAGCGAGGCAGGCACCTTTGGCTGGTGAAACTTGGCTAGACTTCGCAGCAGCAGAGCTCAGCTCAGATCGAAATGGGATCGGTCTCGCGGACTCTCGCTCACCCTTCAGACAGATGCGATCTTGGAGCTCGGGGCTGGGTGGGAGGAGGGGCAAAGGACAGGAATACAATGAATGCGCCTGCGACCTGATCATATACTGCACTCCCTTCCAAAGCAGTCAACCTCGCAGGCCCCGGATTCCGCCCAAAGCTCCCCAATGAGCGCGACCACCCTTTTGGCCGTCGGCCGCTTTTGCTTCGCTTTGGCAGTCCATGTCCCAGAAGCCAGCCCGGCCACGCAACTCCTCTCGCACCTCGATGGTCCGCTCCCGGTCGCCCAGTGCATCGCACGGTGGGCCGCGCCCGCATCACGGCGCTTTTCCCCGCAGCGCTTCGTGATTCGCAGCCCCACCGGGATAGCCGGTGGAAGTCGGTGCAGCGCGGACGCTAGCCGAGGCGAGCGGGCCAGACTATTCCTGTCCTGGTCGCCGTAGCCAGGCCCTCTCGGCCTGTAGCGCTACTGTTACCGGGGTACGTCGTACTGGAATGGCGTGGCCGGGGGAGCCCCGGGGACCGGTGGGCCCGGGAGGGGGGGGCGACAGGCCTCGTCGTTTGTGCAACCCCGCCGGGCCCCACCGCGGGCCTCGCCTTCCTCGCCTCGCCGCTGTCGCCGATCCGTCCATCCATCCATCCATGGCTCCATGCAAGCTGGGGATCACTGGCCTTCATACGCCCTTTCCACCTCGGATCTCGTCTACCGAGATTTCCACTCGGACGTGGTCAGTCTGACTCCGACACAGTTGCGCCCCTTCCTGCCCTGCCCTGCCCGCCAGTACATGTGCCTCGCCTGTCCCGGACATGTTCGCCCTCTCCGCTACGGCTACCGCCACCCCGCGCCCGATATCCATCTTCCAACCCCGGCCCGAGAATCGACGTCGTCGCTCTGACTTCCTCCGGTCTCCGCCGGAGGAGAGGGGGGGGGGGGGGGGGGGGGGGGGGGGCGGGGTGGGCGTGAGTTGTGTCTTACTTCCCGTTGCGCGGCGCGAGGATCCGTCCTCTCCAGCAACGTCTTCTCAGGACCGGCGCGGCGGTGATCTGAGCTAGCCGTTCGCGCAGTTGTTTCCGGCGGCCATCCTCGCCTCAGTTCGTCACCATAACGCATCGATCATCGATCATCCGTCGCTTCGTCTGAAGCGACGACTGTTTATGAAAATTCGGGCTTTTTTTTGCCGGACTCTGATTTCTCATTCACTCTCTGGGCTCTTGGCCTTGCTCTTGCAGGGTTGGGCAGAAGTCCCACAATTTCTGAGTCTGGTCTCAGGGTCTAGGAAATCGAAAGAAGTTTTGTGCACCCCGGGAGCCGCTAAAAAAAGTCCCTATGGCGCGCCGTAAGAAATTTGTGCGGCTGTGGCGGTACACAAGTTTCTTATGGCGCGCCGTGTCGCGATACTTTGCGAGCGATACCACAGTAGCAAACGGAGGTAGCTCAGGTTCCAGTTGTGATTCTTTTGACGACCAGCTGAGCTGGAGCTGAAGCTGAATCTGAATCTGAAAGGAATCTTGAGGTAGATCACTACAGGGTCATAAGGACTTTAAACATGAACACGATATTTTGCTGCAGGATCGCCATTCTCTGAACTCACTTCTGCTGTACATGCGTGAACTATCCATCTCGCCGATTGAGAGCCCTTTTCCCAAGCAGTATTCTCAGTACATCTTCAACACCCATGCAAAGAAGCGGTGTCAGAATTAGGAGACTATGTCGTTTGATGCTCGTTGATGCACGGCTGCCACACTCAACAGTGTGGCAGCCGTGGCAGGGCCTGCTGCCTGCCAACTATATCCACAGTCGAGGACCAGATTTATCCACTTCCAAGGCAAATGAAAGCTTCACAAAGAAACAGCCCAGAAAGTCATGATTCGTTGAGCTAGAAGGTGTACTAAGCGGGCACTGCTCCGTATGCCGTTTTCGCCATCACTGCACGAATATTCAAAATGATCTCGGCATATTAATCAGTGGGCATCAAGTACATTGTGCCACTGTGACCTTCGTGGTCAGCAGTGGTCCCCATCTGCTTACTGCCGGTCGTTTTAGGCACGATGTTCTCGTAAGATCGATGTGATGTGTAGCGGGATTCTGTGATAACTTCTCGCGCAACTTCCATGAACGGATCGTTAAATGCCGATTACAAAACCTTACACTCTGATTCTTTCTCAGAAGTCGTCTCCTTCAAGATCAAGCTCCCCGCATTGTGGACATAATATTGACCTGGAGGCGAGTTGGAAGAAGATGCGAACAAACAAAGCGGAAGATCTTGATGGTGTCAGTGAGTTCAGGGAACACTCTTGTGAAAAACTACAGAAATGTCACAAAAGTGAGCTGGTTAGATTTCCTAGAACACATCGGAGCATGCGAACATGAACATGACATGATATGAACATGATTTTGATGTTGAAACGATTTGGAGCATGCTCCAATCGTTTCAACATCAAAATCCCAAAATAGAAAATGGATAAGATGTTGATGCAGTTCTTAATTCTGCCATCCCACTTTGAGCTTCAATGAACTGCACTACGTGCATCTATGTCTCTCGGACGTTCCACATTTTTGTAGGTCTAACCAGAACCTCACTGGTGCAAAGCTCCCTGTCCCTACGTCTGATGTCAAATACTTGTTGAGTAAGGCAGAGTCCTTTTGATTTTTGCGTCATAGATCTATCATTCAAACGATACCTAAAAATATGCCCTTCGAGGTCGGATGATGATTCCTTGCGCGATGACATACACCATTTGTCATCATTTCGCTCCGCTGCTGTCCACATCTTTTGCAAAGAACACATCATGCCGATCAAACACAACTGTGGAAGAGATTTACCTCCCACGGGAGGTAAGTTCATGTCTTTTACGAAACTTCAAAACGAACTTTTCTACAGTTGTGTTGGTGTTCAGGTTTTGCTTAGGAGGCCCACATCCCTATAGGTTTCCAGCACCAAGTCTTTTCTGCGAATATAGCATGCTGAAGCCTGTGCTGTACAGGACTGAAAACTTTCAAACCCTGACGATTTTGATCATTCTCAGCTGATTGGAAATATGTTACTCTTCTCTTTAACAAATTTAAAGTTCCATTTCCTTCTTTCGAAATATTATTTTGAAATAGTCGTTCTGTGATAGTTACATAAGGAACATTCTTAAAGTTGTTCATCACATAAACATACAAAGTCTGGGGCCTTTATGTATAAGTCTGAAGTGAAAAACTCACGTTCTTGTTCTGAAACCAATTTGTAGTGTGAGGGTGTGTTTAGTATGTGCTCATGTGCTCATGGTCTTTCACATGTTGTGTATATCGTCTCAGGACTTAACATGAGATTTGATGATGGAAGGAGAACACATTTGTACTGTTCGTGCATCATTCTACAATAGCTGTGCACGACATGTTTCCTAGGAATACATGTGGAACTATTACAAGAAGCGTAAAGCTGCCCAAAGTACTGAATCTCCTGTACAATGATGCAAATATCTTGGTGCAGGATCTCTGCAGTTTAGAGTACCCACCGTCTCTGCAGCTGTTGACAATATGATTTCTGTCTAGAAGAATCTAATAGAATATGTTCAAAGATATACTGTAAGCTAAGGTCGGCTAAGGATTCAAATTTTCATTTCCGTTGTTGTCTGGAAAATTATTAAAATTAGTAGATAATATCAGACGCTCTACTTGAATCTGGTCCATGTTCACATAGAAGGAAGTAAGTTCCCATATGGAAGACTTTTTCATGGACATGGCGAGTGCGATCCGCACAATCATGATGTCCCCTATTTCCTTCAAACATCCAACACATCAAATTGGTCCAGAAGAATGGAGAAATTTCTTAATCTTAAAAAAATCCCCAAACACATTCAGGCTAGCTCCACTCCCAACCGACATAGTGGACTCTAGGTTGTAATCGCTGCGGACCTAGCAAAATCTGAAAAAAAAAATTTCTATCATAATATCATCACAAACCAGAATAAAATAATTTTGAAATATGCACAAAACTTAAAAGCTCAGCCAAAAAATTAGAAAGCTCTCGAGAAAAAGAAGCAACGCGTCACCCTCTTGCCCTTCCGAGTCCCTCGTCAACTTGTAACGTTCTGATAATAAATCCAATAATAAAGCCCTGTAGGCAGACACCTTCATCTTTTGAATGGAAAAGATGAAAGTGCATTCGAATGATATCTTGCGTTCGTCTAGACTTCTAAGTATTACAAAACCGATTCCCTGACATAGAACTTACACAAAACAACCTACAAACAACATTTTCAAACTTCTCGGAATAGTATCCCTTGCCTCAAATTAGATCTTCAACTAAATCCATCTGTAAGTAGCACATTCCAACTACCCCTTGTATATAAATATCACAACAACTCGTTGGGATGTCAAAAACTGGTGAAAATGATACATAGGTTCAATTCATTAACTTTGAAAACATTTTCAGCTATTTGTTTCATGAACATATCTATCATGCTCTACCCGTAAGATTCCGTTTGACTGGCACAAAACCTCTTCATCAACCAAACTACCTTTCTTGTAGGCTCCTCCAAAAATAACCTCCCATCCCATCACAAGGAATTTGGCAAGGTGACAAAGTCAGCCTATAACCAAATAAGGAGGGATTATTCTGATTTTCCAACAGTGGTTTGACAAAGATCCCTCCAGGTACCACAAATGGAAGAGAAAATATTATCATGTGGATAATCCTCAATGTCGTTACAAACCACACGCGTTAACTGCATTACTAACTATGTACTTGAATTACATGTATGAATATCAAAAACTTGTATCTCATATTTATAGAAAGTTTACTTTTGTAAAATAATTATATATATACATCATAATGTGAATTCTTAAGCATGCCAAAATGATAATGCGCATGCAACAACCCTTATGTTTAACCTTAAATTGTAATATCATACTAAAATTTAACATTGTATCCGGTGATGTAAATGCACTCTTGTGGTTTTATTTATATAATAATTATATCACATTTTTCTCCTTCATAAAATTAGTGTATAGATTTCCTTGGATACTATAAACCAATTCTTATTGTAAATAATATGCAGTGTTGATAAAGTGGAGTTCTTGTGGTAAGAAATTTGGAAAATTCTGGACAAGCTTCAAAGTCAAGTCCATTCCAGATTGCTGTCTGCAGTGATGTCTTGCATTCTGACCTCCGTTCATATTGTTGATGTTTAGTCGAGGACTATGCAAGTCAACATGTTATTTGAAGGTATATTTCTTCAAGTATCAGGCATGCTCATGGAATCAAGTGATCCTGGCCAGGCTAGCCGTAAGCTTCGATCCTCGCAAAGACGGTGGAAGTGTCTCTTCTGTTACTTCTTGTCTGTTATTTATTAAAACTCTTTGAACACACTCTCCACCTGTTGCTGTGCCACCACTGATAAGATTATTCAATTAAAATCTTCCATGACAGATACTGAAGCGCTCTCCCAAAGAATCTCAAACTTTGTTCAAGGAACTGAAATATCTACTGAAAGGTAGCACATAATTATATTGATAGTTCCAACTCTCGTCTCGCCGAGCCAATTCTCTATGTCACAAACACATCATCAACCATATAGTCTTGTCATCTTAAAAACAGATGTAAGCCTTAATATGGGCCAGGGAGCGAACTGGAGACTCACGATGCTGGGTCCCAAA